TAACTATGAAAAAAAGAAAAGAATGAAAATAGATAAAGTCGGCATTCTCAACGAGGACATGTTATAAATATGATATGAATGGACATTAGTCGTGTACCAACCGTACACTAAAGCACCTCATCAAGCCTTGTCAAACCTTGTTGAAAAAAAAAAAGGTAAAATATAGAGGCTAATTTTTTATATCAAAGTAATAATAATTGAAATTAATTACTTGTTAGTTTTTCTATTTATAAATAAAATTTTTTATATTTCTTATAATTTATGTCGTATATTGATGGTTACAAATTTATTTTTACTATTTATTTATTTATTTATGTATTTTTATTTATGAGGAATATATTTGATTATTTTATTTTATGTTAATATTATATATGATAATATCAATCTAATAAAAAGCTTCGAAGAGCGACTATATTATTATCTAAAGAGATAGATTTTAAAGGCTCTGAAGAGCGATTATATCATGACTTGAAGAGACAAATTTTTAAAGCTCTAGAAGAGTGAATAAATTATTATTTAAAGAGAAAATGTTTAAAGGCTTTAGAAGAGTCGATATATTATTGCTTGAAGTAACACAATTTAAAGGCTCCGGAAGAGCAAATATGTTATTATCCGAAATGATAAATTTATTATGAATGATGTACTATTCTTTTCAAAGTCTCATAGAAATTTTTTGAGTTTCAAATATATTTATCTAAATGGACATTATATTAAGACGACTATTGTCAAAAATTGAATTCTTAAATATTATAATTATATCGGATAGAAAGCATGTATTGGAGAAATTATTCGCTTTCTCATCTATTCTTTATTACCAACATTGGAATGCTTGAAAACAAAATATATTATAGTAAACCGAAGTTTACTAATTCAAATACTTTTATTATGTGACATGACCGATTGTGCTATCTTGGGTCTTTCATGATGCAAAAAATTATTAAAAATTCATATGGATATCTATGGAAGAGCCGGAAGATTCTTCAATTTAATGAACTTTCATGTTCCGTATGTTGCCAAGACAGATTGATGATTAAGTCATCATCAAGTAAAATTGAGATTGAATCTCCAGTATTTTAGAATATATTCAAGGTAATATATGTGGATCAATTCATCCACCATGTGGACCATTTAAATATTTTCCGATTTTGATAAATGCATCCACAAGATGGTCATATATATGCTTATTATCTACTCGAAACCCGACGTTTTTGAGATTGCTAGCAAATAATTTGATTTCGAGCATAATTTTTAAATTATGCCATTAAAACAAGTCACCTTGATAATGCCGATAAATTTATTTCTCAAGCATTAAATTATTATTGATTGGCTATTAAAATAAAGGTTTAACATGTTGTTGCTCATGTTCATATCAAAAAAGGTTTAGTAAAATCATTTATCAAAAGGCTCCAATTGATAGCTAAACCATTATTTAAAAATAAAACTCCCTGTTTATGTTTGGGGATATGCAATCTTACATGCAGCAACACTTATTCGCATATGACCCATAAGTTATTAGAAATTCTCTCCTCTTCAATTGATTCATGGTCATGAGCCGATTATTTCTTATTTAAGAATTTTTGGCATTACGAGTGTATATCCTTAGTGCTCCTCCATAATGAAATAAAATGAGCACTTAAAAGAGATTGAGAATATATGAATCCTCTTTGATAATTCAATCTCTTGATTCATGAACAAGAGAAAATTTTTACGAGCTCGATTTATCGACTCGTCATTTTGATAAAATAGTTTTTTTAACATTAGGGGAGAGAATAAGCGGAATAAGCGATTGAAAATGTTGAAAAAAGAGATTACATAGAGTACTCTATCTTTATATCATATTGAATCTCGTACAAAATGATATGAACCGAAGTTCAAAAGATAATTCATTTATAAGGTATTAGAAACCGACTGCTAGATGCATTCTTAGATCCTAAATGAGTAATTATAATACGTGTCCCCGCCGAGAATGCTCATATTAGAATTGATGTCCCGTAAGGATAGTCTATTAATGTTATAGCTAATAAATTTAAAGCACGCTCAAAGTGTGGTAGACCGATTGGTTCTAAAAATAAAATTCCTAAAAGAAAAGAGCAAGATAAAAATATAAAGAATGTAAATATTCATAAAATGGTCCAAGATATATCCGATAATAGGCTTCTCGAAGAAGTCTAAATACTTGAGAAAAATCAAGAGATTTTGATAAATTATATTAATGCAAGGAGAAAATAGGACCGAAAAGAAACATCTATTGATAAGACTTTTGCATATAATATTGCAATTGATATTATGGATGAAAATAAGGATCCCGAGCCTAAATTATTGAAGAATGTCGACATAAACATGATTGGCCTAAATGAAAAGAGCAATCTAGGCAAAATTATATTCTCTTATAAAAGAGTAGTTTTTTGAACCCATAGCTAAAACACTCGAAGATGTTAAGCTAGTGGGATACAAATATGTATTTATGAGAAAATGAAATAAGAAAGATGAGATTATAAGAGATAAAGCAAAACTTTTAACACAAAAGTTTTCGTAAAGAATTGACATTGACTACGAGGAAACATATTCTCCTATAGTGGATGCAATTGTCTTTTGTTATCTCATTAGCTTAGGAAAATATATGAAAAACATTCAAATGCATGCATTTAATGAATGTGATCATAGTTTATTTATTCATTTAAAATGATATCGGTATAAAAGTTCTAGAAGGACTTAACATGCCGAAGCATGTAATACATATTCTCGAGAAAAGAATTCAATTAAATGATAGAGATCTCTATTAGGATTATTTTAGTATTTGTTTTATTATTTGGTTTTTAGAAATTTAATTTATACTTTTTATATTTCATTTTTATATCTATTGTTTATTACTAACCCGTGTGCATGTGATTTAATCACTTAAATGATTATTTATTGAAAGAAAGTTATAGAAATAACCTTATTTGTTCATATGTTTTTATTTGAAAAGGGGTTTATTTTATATGTTGATAACTTAAATATTATTGGAACTCCCGAAGAGATTTCAAGTGTCATAAGTTACCTAAAAAAAGGAATTTGATGTGAATATCTTGAAAAAACAAAAATGTTATCTCGACTCGTAGTTCGAGCACTCGAAAAATGAGATTTTCATTTATTAGTCAATTTATATAGAAAAGGCTTCTACAATGATTCTATATAAAGATCATTCATCGACTAGCCCAACGGTAGTTCATTCACTTGATATCCAAAAAGACACTTTTCGACCTCGAGAAGATAACAAAGTACTTGGTCCCGAAGTACCATATTTTAGTGTCGATGGTGCATTGATATATCTTGCTAATAATACTCGACTCGATATAGTTTTTTCTATAAATTTATTAGCAATTCATTGTTTTGTTTCAATATGGAGATATTGAAATAAAGTTAAATATATACTATGTTATCTTCGCGGAATAATTGATAGAGGCTTATATTACTCTAATAAATCAAAGACATGATTAATTTGTTATGCGGATACGAGTTATTTATCCGATCTACATGAAGCTCGATCACAACTAGTTATATATTTACATATGAAGATCCAACTACATCTTTGTGTTCTATAAAGCAAACTATAGTCGCCACATCTTCAAATCATGCGAAATATTAATTCACGAGGCAAGTCGAGAATGTGTTTGGTTAAGATCAACGATCCATCATATCCGAGAGACATGTAATTTATCTATCAGCAAAAGAAGTTCCAACAATATCATATGAAGATAATGTCGCTTGCATAGTTTCATTAAAGGAAGAATACATCAAAGTGATAATCCAACAGATTTGTTCACTAAGGTGTTACCTACCACAACTTTTGATAAGATGATTCACAAGATTGGAATGCGTTGTCTTAGAGATCTTAAATAATGCCTTCAACATGGGAAGACCAAAATGGAGATTAATGTGTGCAATGAATATTGTACTCTTTTTCCTTCACTAGGATTTTTTTCCCACTCGGGTTTTTTTCTAGTAAGGTTTTAACGAGGCATATTCGTTGTACAATGGACATTCGAGGGGAGTGTTATGAAATAATGAATGTCCATCATCATGTTCATCCACTTTTCATATCCCCACTACTTATAATTCTTAATATGATTCAATTCATCATTCAATATGAGAAATTGAAAGGGTGATGCAATTGATTATTCATAGTCCCTTTCAATTCTCTCCTCAATTTTGAAGCCTATAAATAGGCTTGATTATTCATGTACAAGTTTTCTAAAGAGAATAAGAGAAACTTTGAAGTTCTTATCACTCATATTCACATTATAGTGATTTCATTTTCTTGTCATCATTTTCTTCAATTCTCCTATCATTTCTATTTATTTTATAACAATTCGAACCCTTTTTTTGTAATTTTTTTAAAAATAAATTTAAAATCTTTTAAACCGCATCGAGGAAAAAAAAAGGTGTGTGTGTGTGAGAGAGAGAGAGAGAGAGAGAGAGAGAGTTAAATAAATAAATAAAAGCGCACCAAAAGGCTAAAAAAAATACCAGCAACGAAACTTTGGGGGAGGAGTTCTATTGACTTCCAGCTTGAGTCCCTCAACCACTCGGACGTATAGACTTGTTGCCATTTTTTTTCCCGCAAATATATAATAGTTTTTACTACCTCTATTCCTCCTGCCATTTACCTCTGTGTGTCTAAAATCTATTATTCTAATGGTGTAGTTAGACTTGCAAATCACTCAGCAGCACACAACATAAACGTGTTTTTAATAAAGAAAAGCAATTTCCAAGCTTTGTATTTATTCTTGTTTCTGCTCCACCAAATTTCTTGAAATTTATTCCTCAAATTTCACAATCTCTTTTGGCATTTGGTAAGGAAAGAAAAACCCTGTTTGTCAAGGAATCTGATAAACCCTCCCTAAATCTAAGCTTATAAAATCAATCTATCTTGGCTGGCTTCAAAAATCAAAATTACAATTTCTCTGCTGTGTTTTGGTAATTTTTGGCCCAAAACTCGATCTGGGTCTTGTTCAAAGATGCTTACAAAAAGCTTAGTCTCATCCGGTTCAATGTTATTATCTCCGCTTTGTATACCATATGGGTATGCTTCCTCCCCAGGGTTACCATTCAACAATTCACTTTGTTTCAAGGGCAGAAAAGATCAGAGAAATATTGTTTGTGCTTGTGTGGCTCCTCCACCCAACATAGGGAGCGATGGATTTTCTGCAACCAAATTCACTGTAAAGTTTCTGCTTTTTTCTTTTTTTTATTCGTAGTATTCTTGCTTTATCTATAGAATGCTGCTGGTCTGCTATGTTTTTGGTCATATTTTTCTATTACCTATTCATGCTCGGAATTTTAGGTAATTTTTACTGCAGCCCACCTTCTGTTTTTGCCTTGTTTGTGTCAATTTAATGTAGTTGTGAACTGGATTGGTTTTTTCTTTATATTTCAAGTTTCGTTGATTTTGTCTTTTGCGTTGGTTTGAATGGTTTACATAACTAGGATTCATATAAACCAGAGGAATTAAGCAGGATAGGTGAACCGGAGGATGATTGTGATGTTCTTATCGAATGCAGAAATGTTTACAAGTCATTCGGGGAGAAGCATATATTAAGAGGTGTGAACTTCAAGGTGAATTTTTTTTTTTCAAATTTATGTTTGCTGTTTTCTATTTAACAACTCTTTTCGGGGCTTATTTTGCTATTAGATTTTTCTGCTTATTAATACACAAAATAGCGTTGTTGTGGCAAGTGCTCTTCATCATGCAATTTTGTAATTCAACTTCCTCACCAGTATTGGAGTACAATCCATGCGAGTTATTAAGAATTTTAGCAATTATTTGCATGTTATATGTTCTCCCCAAGGCAATGCCTTTCAGACTTTGCTTGTTTCATCTTGCTGTTTCTGCATGTCCACAATTCTTATGGTTAATTGATATTTCCCTGTGGACTCTTAGTTGCCTTTTGTTAGAGAAGATTTTTCTGTTGACAAGTTATGGTAGCCCATCGTTTACTGTAAGCTAAGATATTTGATGCATAATTCTGTGTTTCTGTTATTCATGTTTAGTGTCAGACCAATAAAGACAGAAATGTTTGAGATTTTTTATGCTTAAAACTATTTCAATAATTCCTTTGTGTGTGGGTGTGTGTGTGGGTGGGTGGGTGGGGGTTGCGGGGGGGGGGGGGGGGGAGGGGAGGGGGTGTTATTTGGCATAAGTTTATGGGCACCACTAGAAGATAATTCCTTGAGCAGTACAAGTTTCATCTACCTTTCTTGTCATTCTTATCATTTATTCTTTATCATTTTATCTGTGTGGTGATATGTTTTTGCTTTTGCAGATTAGACATGGTGAAGCAGTTGGAATAATTGGACCTTCTGGTACTGGTAAATCTACAATTTTGAAGATTATTGCAGGACTTCTAGCTCCCGATGGGGTAATGTTCAAATCAAGTTTCTAGTTGCGTCTATTTTTATGTAACTGTATTACTAACTTGGTTCGTATTGAAGCAACTGGGCCATGCCTCAGTATTTTACATTAGGCAGTTTTACATAGACTATATCTAATGGCAGGGTGAGGTTTATATTCGAGGTAAAAAGAGAGATGGTTTGATCAGCGATGAGGAGATGTCTGGGCTTCGAATTGGATTGGTAAATCTTTATTTTAGTTATGAATAGAAGGGTTATATCGCTTGTGCTACTTTATCAGTAATTACACTTATCTTTTTCACTAATTCTTCGTGACAGGTGTTTCAAAGTGCGGCACTTTTTGATTCTTTGACCGTTCGTGAAAATGTTGGTTTCCTTTTGTAAGATACAGATTACTCTTTTCTTCTCAGGAGTTGGAAGTGATAGCATGACTTTAATGCAATACCTTTTCTGGAGAAAAAAGAAAGCTCATTTCTTAATGCTTTTGACTTGCATAGATATGAAAATTCTAGCATGTCGGAAGAACAAATCGAGGATCTTGTGACAGAAACTTTGGCTGCAGTTGGTTTAAAGGTATGTTTGCAATGTAAAATTTTACATTTGTACAACATCAGATGGTTCTTTCCTAGCTAAGAAATCATCTCCTGATGGGTGGCTGTGCCCTTAATTTAATTTATTTAAGCTGCATATATGGATTACACTTTTGTCACCTAATGTAATGCTGTCAATTTTCAGCAATGTGAAGTTTGATTTCCTGCTGAAGCATTAGAAACTGTCTTTTTTTTTTTTTTCTTATGCTGGTTTCCTGCATTGCAGAAAGCTTAGAAAACATCTTCTTTTCCCTGCTCTCTTATTCGAGCCTCTATAGTAGACAAGGAAGCCCTTTACTTTTATTGTTGATGAAACTTGATATTTTGTTCAGGGAGTAGAGGACCGTTTACCTTCCGAGTTATCTGGCGGGATGAAGAAAAGAGTTGCTTTAGCTCGGTCTATAATTTTTGATACCACTAAGGAAACAATTGAGCCAGAGGTATTTAAGCAACTGAATTATTTTTGTTCTTTAATCTTTTTGGTTTTCACTAATAGCAAATCTTGTTGTCTTTATATGATGCACTGTGACCGTTTTCTGATTGTTAAACATTCTTTGATGAAAAACATGGTCAAGGAAATGAGTTATAGGAGGTGTCACTTGTAGCTGTTGTAACTTTCATAATATAGCAGCAAGGAGATCATTTTCTGATTGGTAAACATTCTTTGATGAAAAATTTGGTAAATGATATTTCTTTTCTCATGCCATTCTCTGGTGATTGGCATGCAAGAAATTTATACCAGTAGGATGACTGACAATGGTTCTCAAAGATAATTCAGGTGATTGGATTAGGCAAACCAAAACAATAATGGCTGGAACCCCACTTTCCTAGCTTACTTGTAGCTGCTGTAATTGTCTTTATATAACTCATCCAATTTTTTGCCGGAAACCAACAGCTAGGATTTTATATGTCAGAAATGTACAATATCTTACTATTAGCTTCAATTCGTTTCTTGATCTCAATCCATGAAATTTGTTTGGTTTTTTTTTTTTCCAAGGCCTGAATATTTATTTGTTCTGAATTTGTGCATAATCAATTTTAAAAAGTACAAAATTCTATTTGTATGATTTTGTCTCTTGGTGTTTTGTGCCACAATTGTTCAAGTGTTGCTTTGATGTGATTTAATCCAGCTGTGTTTTTTACCTGTTCCCTTATAATTTTTCACATTGCGGAACAGGTACTCTTATACGATGAACCAACAGCTGGACTTGATCCAATAGCATCTACTGTAGTTGAAGATCTCATTCGCTCTGTTCATATAAAAGGTGAGGATGCACTTGGGAAACCTGGGAAGATTGCATCTTATGTGGTGGTTACTCATCAACATAGTACCGTTAGAAGGGCTGTTGACAGGTTAGCTGTGTCAAAAAGTTTTTGTTGTCTGGCGCTATTTGTTTCAATGGACCTGTAAAGTGCCATTTCCTAAGTGCTGTTCGGTTTGTAGGTTGTTGTTTCTACATGAAGGAAAGGTTGTGTGGCAAGGAATGACTCATGAATTCATGACATCAACCAATCCAATTGTTCAACAGGTAACAATTGTAGTGGAAGTTTTGAAATGCACCAAACTCAGTGAATTTTGTTTACATATGCTGTCAAACCATTAACTATATGCTAAAGATATTGAATATCATGAGGGTGCTGCCTGATGGCAAGTGTTATATATTTGGTTAAATTGTTACTGCCATAGTGCTCATGGAAAGGGAGAAGACGTGACTTCCAGTATCTAAAAGTATCTTATAAGTGGGATTTTTGATTTGTTGTCTCTGCAATGTGAGGAAATGTCATGTTCAGTGTCTCTTTCCTGCATCAGCTACATAACTAACAAGTCTTTGGTCTTATATTTCTTTTCATTCCTCCTCTTTTTTTACCCTTCCCTTTTATCATGATGGTGGAAACAAGAAGTCGCAGTTGGGCTTTCTTTGTTGAAATAACATTATCATGTTGCCCATATTGTGATGGCTAGGAACATCAACATCTCTTGTGAACGCAGACATTTGTTTGCATACATGTGCGTGACTCATGCAATTTTGTATGTGTGACTTTATTTCAGTTCTGACTTTAAGTTGCTTGCCTTTTCTGTATTTTCAGTTTGCATCCGGCAGCCTTGATGGACCTATTAAATATTAGGACATGAACCATTGGTTTTCGTTTCAGACAAACTTCTGGGGGGAGTTTCAAGACATAGACTTCTCATGAACTGGTGCATGCAGATTTTGCCACTCCCTACCAGGTCTACACTGTTGCAAACATATTGTCACTGACTGATACAAAATGATCTCAAAGGAATAAAACTAGTTCAACCTTGGGCAGCGTCTTGCTTTGAAAGAGCCTGCTCCTCGATATATACTTTGTTGTTATACCATCAGATAGTAGTTAGTTTTGTATCTTGTATGACCATTATTCTCTTTCGTTTCTAACATAGATCATGAAATTGGGACATTCATGTTGGGTTCCGTCGTAGGAAAGGAAGCTGCATCTGAAAGCAGTTTCGCATTATGATTATGTATACACGATTTATAACATCAAGAATGTTCATTCCCCTTTATAGAGATACTGCTGCGCCCAGGTGTAAGAAGCAATGAATATGTCTAGTTCCAGCCTCTCTCTAATGCTCCTAGAGCCATTCCATCAGCAAATTCAAGCTAATCCAAAGATTGGGCTCCAGAATCTGATTATTGTGAACCACCCATTTTCGCTCTTTGGGTTTTAACAGATGCATAAAAATAAAGAAAAATCCTTTTAGAAGTGCTAGTAAGGTTTGGGACTAAATTAATTTACGTGGGTTGGGTTTGGGACACTAACTTTAAGCTAGCGTTAAATAAAAGGGCTAGGAAATAATGAGTTGGCCCAAGTCCCACGTGTTGGAAGTTTTCAGGCTTCCATTAAACAACACACCACGATTTTTTTTTCTTTTCCTTTTTCAATATCTAATGCGTATTTATTTTAGTTTATTGCTTAATTTATTTTGTGTTTTAAGGTGACATTAATTTGATGGATGGCATGTGGTACATTATTTATATGTATATATGGGTGAAATAATACTTAAGTGCGGAAAACTGAGTCAAGTGGTGTGCTACTAAATATTTATTCTGAAAATACAAAACTGACCTACGTCATAATATAATAAATGATTCATCGTCCAACCATGTTGAATTGTCATAATATATGTTGTTGTTTGAAAGAGGTTTATCTCCTTCCTTCTCTCATGCCACGATCTTCTTTTCCCCAAGCCTCTTTTTCCTTAGTCCACGCAGACATTAAAAAAAAAAAAAAAAAAAAAAGGAAGAGATAGTAAAATTCATACCAACAGTTCATCGCGGAAGAAAGAACCAACTGATCTATTAGGAGAACATGACAAGCTTGCTAGACCTTGGTACTGGGGATAAAGAATTTAATCAAAGAACAAGTGGCATCTTTGATTTGGATAACTCAAAATTCAAGTGACCAATTGATAAAGGATTTTATATTCTGGAGCAATGCATGGCTGGATTGACTCTGGACTTTCTATTTTTTCACTTTCCAAAAGAAGGCATATGAAAGCTTACCTTATTTTAAAAATAATAGTTATTCTAAAAAACAAACATTAATATAATTTAGAGCTATATATAATAAATCTATAAAAAGAATATATATATATATATATAGTAAGAGGTTATCCTATTTGATATATTTGAAAGACTTTTTTCTTGATTGAGATACTGTTTGTATATGTATGTGTAAAATCACATAGTATAACTCTACTTAGAAAACAATATTCATGGAGCATATCTCAACACAGCATGGGTGATGGATTCTTATAAACAACAACCACCCCACATTTTTTGATTAAATTATGTTCAACTGCATGTAAAACAAATTTCAAAATTCTTAAATTTTCTATTAGATTTGAAGAGTTTAATAATTGTATGCAACCGTTAAATAAATTCTAAGACTCTTAACAAAACAACTATATTATCAAAAATGGCATATTATCTAATATGACAACACGAAATCAAAATAAATCAACAAAACAATACCATATATATAATTGAATAAACTCTCAAATAAGATAATTGAATTACATGCATGTGCGCATACGCACACAAATGTAAGAATCACTCATGTAATAACTTAAAATTTATTAGTGAAAATGAATTTTTATTCTATTATAACTTTAATTTGAAACATGCTGATATTGTAGAATGAAAACAACAAAATGTTATATTTGGGTTAATACTCTCATTTTTCTTTACATAATAGGTTAATCTTTTAATTTGTCTCTAAAAAAAAAAAAAACACCTCTAATCTATCCTTATATTTTAAAGTTCTTTTTAATCTATTCTTCGATAAAAAATTTTTGATCAATTTTTAAAAATTAATCCTCATATTAGTAGATATAAATCATTTATACCAAATAACAAACACAATTTTATTAAATCACATATCATGTGCAAATCACATACTTAATTTGACTTAATTTACTCTCAAAATTTAATTAAAATAATATATTAGAAATCGATTCAAATTAATGACTTTTTTTTACGAACAAATTGAAAAATTAACCCATGATATAATGACATGTGAAGATATTAGTCTTCTATATTTTTAAGAAATGTGTGGATTTTGGTTGATGAGTTTTTTTATATAAGTTCCTACTAGCTTATTCAATATGATTGACTTAAAAAATCTACTAATCAAGTAACACCATGTACAAAATTTTATGTGTTATCATAATAAAGAAAAAATATTTTTAAAACCATTTTGCAAATACAATTATTTTTATGTTACATATAAATATTTAATTGGTTTTGCTACAACTTAACAAAGCTGAATTGTAAGGTCAAAACGAGCGTGGAATCTTTGTTCGTTGTGTTTGGCCAATGAGTTTGAATTTGCACATAACTTAACGACTCCACGTAACGGTAGTCAGTAGTCACCACCAACCCAAACCACCCGTCGAGTTTTTTATTCCGTTACTACCCCCAGCCCCTACAGAAAGAAGTAAACTATAAATTAGTCCCTTTCCTTTTGAGAAATAAATTAATTAGTTCCACTTGTTTCAAATATTAATTATTTAGTACTTTATCATTATTTTTTTCTTCAAATTTATCAAATTAACATCCAATATCTAAAATATCTTTTAATATATATACTTATCTATAGAAATATATTTTGGTGATTGAAGAAAGAGAAAACAAGTAGAGATTAATAAAATTAAAAGTGAAAATTTGAAAAGGAAAAATGAAAATTTGTTTTGGTACCCACGGAGAAAGAAAGAGAAGAAATGTGTTTGAAGGAAACAAATAATGCATAAAAAAAAATACTACAATAAGGACACCTCACTGAAAAATAACGAAAGAATCAAATTATTAATGAAATTAAAACATAAAAAATTAGACGATTAATTTTTAAAATAAAAGAATTAATTAATTTTTTTTTCTCGAAACGAGGAGGGATTAATTTATAATTTACTAAATCAACAGGGAATCAATCATTGACACATGAGAGTCATGTGAAAAGACTTAAATGCTTAATTAATTATACCATGGTCCTTGTGGTCTAACAAAACTAATTAGCTGTCTTTTTTTTTCCTCACAAACTATATATTTAACACTCCTGTGTTTTTCAATCCATTTACAACTCAACCCTCTTACTACCATCAATTTTACTTCTTTTTCAATTTAATTTGTTTCTTATTTTTTTTAAAAGTAGAACAATAAATTTAAAATAATTAAGATGGAAAACATTGATTAATAAAAAAGTAATTTTTTGAAAAGAAAAACTATTAAATTTAAGATAGTCAATGTTACTAGAAGACTTTTAATATCCTAATAGTGAATATTTTTCCTTACAAAAAAGTTATGGATTGAAATCTTTCTTCTAAAATATTTGAGTTAAAAAAAAAAAAAAAAAAAAACTCTTAGAAGGTCAAAATAGCCATTTATCTTTATAGGGATACCAATTGCAAATTAGAAGATAGTTGTGGTGATGGGACTGTAGACTAGTTAATTAGTTTCAATAAATTACAAGGACTAAGCTATACGTGATTAATTAAGTCTAGTAACAAACAACGATGGACACGTACGTGTCAAAAGATAAGGAGGGCAGTAACGTTCGTAGGCAGGTAAGTTTAACAAAGCCCAAACAGATTTTGTATTTCACTAAAGGAAAGGGGGTTGTGTCCGAAAAGGGGGTTCGTCTAGGCTAGGCAGAGTTAAATACTTAAAATTGATCCGAGGAGGAGAAAAAATAGAAGAGAAGAGCAGCTGAAAGAGAGAGACAGAGAGAGCGATGGCACTGAAAGAGCGTAGTCCCGAAACCCCCAAAACCTCCTCCAAGGTACGGTTCTGATTCATTCACCTAACCTTATCTAGGGCTTATATTTCCGATCCGTTCTGTTCTTCTCTGTAGGGTTTAATAATTTGGTTGCCGAGATTTATTCGTTTATTTTGAAGAAAATTCGAGCTTTCTTGATAGCTGATCTCTAAGGGTAGGGTCCGTAGGGATGTTACCACCCAGGGAAATGCTGTGATATATATATTTTTTCTTTTTCTTCCTATCTACTATATATACAACACGAGCCTGAGATTGTTTTTTAATTAAAAAAAAAAGAAAAAAATTAATTGATTAGTACTATTAGTATTGATTTTGAGCTTGATTTCCGCTGTAGAGATGTTAATATATTCCATGTTGTTGTCTCTTGTAAGATTTATAATATGCGGATTAATTCATCTTTTTATTTTTGCTATGAAAAAGAAAGCGCGCAACACTTTAGAATTGCATGCTGGTCTGGTCGAAGCAGCTTGGTTAGCAGCGTTTGTTATCAATGAATAGCAGTTGAAATTGATGATATGATACGTCATTAACATACTGGTTACGTGTTAACTGATTGTTTGGTGCCTTGAGGTCCGCAACTTTCCACAGTTGTTTCGTACAGTACAGCTCATATGATGAGCGATCTGCTTAATATTTATAAGATTGTTTTTACTACTCTTGCCCTTGATTTTGTCTTCATGTTAGAAACTGTGGCTGTAAATAGGGAGAATGTGAACTGTATGTGTTAAATGGTTACAACGGAATATCAAAAGCTGCAAGTTTTTCATTTCACGTTGTTTTTCCAAGTCAATTTTAGTGGTACATTGAATTACCCATTTCTTTTCCAAGGCTGATCGTTGCCTTTCCAAGTGGCAATCTAACCTTTTAGGATGCACCATAGGGAGAAAGAAATGCATGCTTGATGATGCCTGCATCCGCCATGTAGATACATTATTGTCATTCCCTTTTGATCTGAGTAATTGCAAATTTCAGACTCTGTCTCTTTTGGATATATGAACCTGACCTGCTTAACTACAAATTCGTTTACTTTTGATTTTGACATTTGAGGAAAATAAAAGGGAAACAGATGGTAATTACTTTCTAAGTTGTGATGACAGAATCCACGAGTTCCTTTGCGATCAATTGATACATATGCTGCACAGTGCGACAAATGCTTAAAATGGAGGGTGATTGCAACCGAAGAGGAGTATGAGGAGATCAGAAGTAAAATGGAAGAGAATCCATTTGTTTGCGACAGAAAACCTGGTGTGTCTTGTGATGATCCTGCTGACATTGATTACAATGCCACTCGAACATGGGTCATTGATAGGCCTGGCATTCCTAAGACCCCAGAAGGTTTTAAAAGGAGCTTGGTGCTTAGACGTGATTTCTCCAAAATGGATGCTTACTATATCACACCCACAGGAAAGAAGCTGAGAACACGGAACGAGATAGCAGCATTTATAGAAGCAAATCCAAAATACAAAGAGGTAAACCTATCCGACTTCAATTTTACGTCTCCAAAGGTAATGGAAGACACCATCCCTGATGATGCCGTGAGAAAGATTTCTTCTAGTGGAAATGGCAACAAAAAGAAGGCATCAAAGGAAGCTTCAACTTGAACTGGTATGTCAGCTGATCTGCTGTAAATTGTTTTGGGGTTTTGTATCTTATGAGATTGGTCTAGTGAGCATTATCTGCAGCTTTTCACCTTCTGTGATGATTTTCTTTATCCCTGACAATATTGATGTGGTTTCTGTCCCTCTCCTCTTCTTCCCCTCCCGGACTTTTCTTGATCATTGTAAGGCAACTAGAAAGAGCTGATGCTTTGAGACAGATGTTAGAACAGTGTTTTTATTAGTAGTTAAAACTAATTGTTAGTTTGCTGTTCTCTTTATTTAATTGCATTAGATATTTCACAATCAGCTGCAATCTTTTCTGGCTGCAGAATCTAATCCTTTAATGGAAACCTGTAGGGATCCTTCTTTACTAAGATCCCTGGGGGTGATCTTGGGTGATACAGCACAAGACTTAGTTTTCCTGTGGTTAAACTGTGGATCTTGGATCATGGACCATACTTCTTGCCATTTTCAACGAAGTTTGCGATGCGATTGGCATTGGCATCTGTAACTTAATTGATTAATGAACGAATGTTAAGAGGGTTGTTTGAGTGACACAATAAAAACTGTGCTTCTTCATGGTAGATTTCAGCAAGGAAATAATTCCAGTGATTGGTTGAACGGCCCGATTCTGCATGTCTTGAAGCCATGTAGCAGTTCAACGTGAATATCTCATCAACCATCACCGTTGAACCGATAATGGATCGATACACCTTTGAGGATGAAAAAACAAAATAATAAAATCGTAGATCCTCGTGGTAGACCGGAGAGATGTATATTGGGTTGAAAAGTTACTCTAAAAGCAATACCAGTCATGATGTTAAATAATTTTAAATTACAAATGCAGTTGTAAAAATAATCCTATTGTAATTATAGATCATGACTTTTTATGATAGTAAAATAATGATACTAATAGCTATTAACAAACCTATTCTGATCTATATATTATTATGATGATAAAATAATGATACTAATAGCTATTAATAAACCTATTCTGATCTATATGTATTTTTTAATATAATAATATGTCAAATAGTTTAATATCATGTAATAATAGTTGAATTTATTAAAAAAAATAATAAAATTTTTAATATTTTAATTATCACACAAACAATATAAATACGAAGAATTAATTTATTTTTTTAACTAACCGTACTTATTCACCAGATAACAAAAAATAACAGCTTTATATAATGATAATGTATATAATACCATTATTTGTGTAAAATACCGTCACACTTCTTATAACAGCTTTATAAAATGATAAGAAACATGTCTGAATAAAGACAGTTAAATTATATACACCGTTATATTTATATAACAATTGTTATTTGAAAACCAATCCTACCACTAAAAGAAAGCAACCAAGAAAAAATCTGGGAAAAATTATGGACTTAAGCAACTTAAGACAATCAAATCATTTGGCATGAATTTCTACTCTTGATCCGCGTACCAGCAGGCATTATACTCGCCAAACAAAGAAACTCACAAATGGTTGAATTTGGTGATTCATTTTTCTTTTAATTTTTACAAGAATTAATTTAATACATTAATAATACAGTTAGGTACATTGCTCAACACCCAGAAAAAGTTCTGCACATGAATTTGGGTGGATTGAATATGTACATACCAGGAAAAATTTCTATTCGACTCCATTTTCTGTTGTAAGTCGTACTGCCCTACATTGGCCATGAAGGAAAGCGTCATAAACAACGAAGATGCTGCGCGGGAATTATAAATAGAGGGCAAATCTAAAAATAAATCTTCATTGAAACAGTGAATCCTCTGCAGAAATGATAATTACCCAGTTTCGCAGGAGAGAAATCACAATCCATCTATGGTCTTGAGTAACTTGATGCTGGTCAAAACATAATGTCAGCATCAATCCTTGTGAAGTGAAACTGAATGGTGGCTTGTCAGTGCTAGTCTGGTTTGGTGTACTCCAGAAGCATGTGTGGCGACCTGTAAATCTTTACGAGTGTCCAGTAAAGAACCTCTTCAACTCCAAGCTCACCCTCTGCTCTTGCAGCATAAATGTCCTCACAAATGGCTATCAACCTACATCAAATCAGGTAATGACTTTTAAGAAGAAGGGCAAAGCTATATGTACAAACAGATACTACTAAAATTTTTCACAAGGTGATAGGTAGTATTTTTATGCCAGACTAATCAATTAATGCTTTTATAAAGCACTTCATGTTGTCACATCCGTTTGTAAGCACTTTTAGAAACAATTGTTTGTGTACATAATTTTTCTTGTAATAATGCAAATGAAGTTATATCCTATTAAGCATTTTAGGGAAAAAAAAAAAAAAAAAAAAAAAATATATATATATATATATATATATACTACTCATTTTTGTCATTACATTTTCTTATAGTTGAGCATTCTTGTTCTGTCAATCCATAAGAACAGAAATGCAGAATGAGGCTATGTTAGTTGTTACCTGTCACAGGAAGGTAGATTTTCATATGGTATTCTCATTCTTAAGTCTGAGCATTGAAGTCTAATAAAACGGCCCACAGCAAGCACAAAGGTTATGTAGAGGCCCCAGATGCTGAACTTGCTGATGGTGTCACCAAGAATACCCTCTGCAGCAGCATTTGAGCATTAGTGTTGTCATGAAAGAAAATGCCACACCATATTGTTAAATACATATATGACACAGAAATGCTTCTTTAAACTCACGAGGTGGTGTTTCCTCAGACATTACAATTGCCATAGGTCCTGTCAAACCTCCACAGCCATGAATATCCGATGTATTAATATTATGGAATGACCACCAGTTGAAATCTGCACGATTTAAGACAAGGTCTGCACTAACAGCATCCACCTGTAATATTGACATTCAGTGAGGCTCTAATAAATGTATGTTCCAAAGGTTCATGTAACTTTATTTAGCATCAACTGGTTATATGTCTAGGGTAGACTACCTTATTTAACACGAATTCCAGACTACCTTATTTAACACGAATTCCAACTCAACTATGAACAATCAATTTTTCTTAACTGAAAAATTCATAGCACAACACATCATGATATAAATAATCATTAAATCTATTTAAGTCATTAACAGCACATTATGAAAGCACAACAATTTTGATATAAGGTGCACATATTTATGAATGGAAAAAACGCAGATGCAGAAATCAATCTTATCATAGATAGTTTTCACAAAAGCAGCAGATACAGAAATTAATCTTATCATAGATAATTTTCACAAAAGCATCATATGAGACTGAGAAACAGTGTATAGTAGTACGTCATAAGTTTAGATAAATGATTTAATAATTTCATTGCAGAAGATGGGGAGAGTATTATAAGAGAGAAGTATTTAGATAAAGTGTAGATTACCTCTTGTTCAAAAGATCTGACTTCACCAGAACCAGTAACGCGAAAGTATTTTGCATACAGATTATATATCCTAAAGCTGTTTGCAGAACCATTAAGTACTTTCTGAACGTCTGATTGTTTTGGAAGACCTAGAGGACTGACAGTTTTCTCATATTTCACAACTTCCTTGCCTTTCGGCCTATCCCTGGTAAGCACCCATGTAAAAATAATATCCATTTCCATATCCCAGTCAAGGGACTGGATAAATCTCATCTGAACCACATTTGGGACAAGCCACAATGCACTTGCATCTGCTTGGCAGCATATCAGCTGGATATCATTCTTATTATATGTATCAAAATAACCATGGGGATCTGGATCAAAATCCGAGTTGATGCTATCCCATGGGAGCTTTTCACAAAGGGTAGTTTGATAAAAGGTCAACCTTCCACCCACCGTCTTAATATCAATCTGAACACTTGCATCTTTGATGGGGTTTGCAGTATTGGTTGGATTACCACTGCTGTAGATCTGTTAAGGATAAAAAGTACAGTACACTGGTTATTAAGATGAACTAATTCTTCATAAAGTATTCAACTATGTACATGTAAGAAGACATAAAAATATGAATATGTGTGTGTGTTTCAGTCTTCATAGAAATGGAGATTTTCAAATGAGAACAAAGATGGTTTGAATCCATCATAGGCACTACTCAACTAACTCGAGTGTTGCCATGCGGCGGAGATATTTTTTCCTTATTAATATAAAATGCTAATTTGTTACATACAATTTATTTTATTAATTTTCATTCTTTTTCGATACATAGAAATCATGAAGGTGGATCCATTTGGTCCTTGTCATACATAGAAATCATGACATCTCCATTCCACGGAAATTCTGCCCTCGTTACCGAGCTAAAAAACTTCTTAGTATATTCTTAATTAGTTAAGCTTCCTCATCTCAATTGCCTTAATTGTAAGTGAACTTGTAGCTTGTATGATGTCACAGAATAACCAGTACAGGCAATCTTCAATCATCCCAAATTTGAACAGTAACATAACAACCTTGTTGAAATTTTTCCCTCCAAAATTTTGCTGCCCTTTTATCTTAGCCTTTACAAAATAAATCTTTCATTCATCACTAAAGTGATACCAAGAAACCAATCAAGAAATACCTAGACATTGCTTTCCCCATAAAAATCACTAGCATCAAGTTCAACATTTCTATTCACACCATTCATCTAAAAATCTTCTTGATTGAGGATACAATAAGGTCGAGCTTCTACCTTTTCTGCCAATAGATTGAATCAACAAGCCTAAAACAGATTGTATTTTGGTTAGGCATTGACTCGCAAGGCTGGTCCTATGAAAGTTTGGATAAGAGTTTGTTGTTGTAAAATGTGATATGGTGGCTGACATAGAAAATGATTTGGGAGGATCTACAACTTGAATAGTGATGCAGTCAATCATAGGGAAGTATACAAATTATAGTTATTTAACCTTTGATTCTATATAGTTTAGTAGTATTTCCCGTAAACCTAGTCCTTTTAGGAAATCATCTTACTTAAGAATATGAATACTATTTAGGAATCTTAGTTTACTACGGCAATTAAACAGTAATTAAGAGCTTTTATTATATGATTTCTGTTTTCCTGTCACGTTTTCTATTTCCTATTTAATATAGGACTAAGAGTTTTTTGTGCCTATAAAAGGAGCACCTGTTCATGTAGAGAACACTGATAATGGCATTATGAGTTCTTTGGTTTAGTTTAAGACTAGTCAATGGGCCCGTGCATGGTTGCATACAAAATCTATTTTAATTCTTTCATTAACTCAATTTAAAATTTTAAAATCAAATTCAATTGTTATTGATTTTGTGATTTTTTTTTTAAATTTAATATGAACGTTGTGGTATTTAATATCATGTGTAAATTTTACGCTTATATTTAATGCATGTTATGAATATGTTAGAGTAAATTATAAAATAATCCATCTAGTTTTGCAAAATGAATTAAATAGTTACTCTTATTTCAAAAACAAATTAATTAGTTTCTTAGCCAATGTTGGCCATGGTTAATTTAAAATTATTTTTTAAAAAAAATTTCTTATTTTTTCATTAATCTTTCTGTATTTTTTACTTATTTTTTTCTTTTTCTATTTATTAAAAAATGAATAAATTGAAATAGAATGAAAATGATTAAGTTACAAATGATAATTAATTAGTTATTGAAAATAGAATGACTAATTTATAATTTACTCTGAATATGTTTGAGATTGACACCAAAAAAAAAAAAAAAAAATCAATTAATTAATTTTTTAACAAAAAAACTCTCATTAAAGGAGCTTATAATTGACCATTAAATTTTGTAGAATAAGGCAGGAACAACTTTCTCAAGCAATCAACATTCGAGATTGAGATAATTCCAATAAGGAGGGACTCTGAGAGAAGTTTAGAAATATAGTTAGTATTTCTTATGAACTTAGTCTACTTAGGAAATCATCTCCTATAAGTAGTCTATTCAAGCATCTTACTTGGGAATCTTACTCAAGAATATTAATAATATTTCAAAATCTTTTTTTTTTTTTCTTTCTACTTTGTTGCTACAATAAAAACCGTAATTTCCTTCTAAAATCCTTAAGTTTCCATACTTAGCTCACCATGAATCCTTTATAGGACACATATCTTACACTGTCCAAAATCAAATAGGTTCAGTTTCAGTAGGTTTGTTTCCTCCTTAAATTTTTGTTAAATTCTGCAACATCTTTATCTCATCCAATATTTATTGCTTGGCCTTCAAAATCTTTCTAAAACATTCCAAAATTCTTTGAGAACTTTTTAAACTTGGAAGCAAGTTAAGCATCACTAACCATTGTGTGAAGAGTTTGAAAAAAATAAATAGCATGGGGAAGAAATTCAAAAAAAAAAAGAAAAAGAAAAAAAGAGAGAGCAAAGGGCTTTTCTTTGATGCCAAATTTATGCAGAACAACCTTGAATATGTTGAAATTTTAGTGCTTAGGAGGGAATTAGGTTTAGGATTTCATATATGTAGAATTGGATTGATTTTCAATGTGTTTGAGGAAAAAAGGAGGGTTAAATCTGGCTGTAAATAGCAACCAAGGTATAGTAATAAAAGAACAGGAGAGAGTAGAAACATAAGAGAAAGAGGAAACCACCATGCCTCCAAAGCGAACCTTGCATCCTTTATTTATAAAGATTACTAGGCTTAGTATTACTAAAGAAGACTTAGGATTTCATATATGTAGAATTGGATTGATTTTCAATGTGTTTGAGAAAAAAATGAGGGTTAAATCTGGCTATAAATAGCAACCAAGGTATAGTAATAAAGGAACAGGAGTAGAAACATAAGAGAAAGAGGAAACCACCATGCCTCCAAAGCAAACCTTGCATCCTTTATTTATAAAGATTACTAGGCTTAGTATTACTAAAGAAGACTACTGATTATTTATAAGTTGATTAGTAAAACAATCAAATGGGAACATATATTTAAAAATAAGACTAGACTTGGCAAATTTCAAAATTACCAAAATAACAATGTATTGTTGAAATATGCAAACATAAAATTCTAACCCTGCTTACAAAATTGCCCATGGCTCCAAGCTTTAATCCAAAAACCTACATCAGACACTTTATTTGACCAAAAGGCTTCTTGATGGATGAAGAACCTATTGATTTAGCCTTGGATTTTCAAAAAGAAGAATTCTCAAAATTTAATGTTTAACATGACACTTTTTTCAAGAAATTTAAAATTAATTTATGGGTGTATTTGATTTTTCATTAGAAAATAATTATTTTAATTTTTTTTTCCTAAATGCATTTGACAAATATATACAATAGAAATAAAAACTAATCAATTAAGCCTTGAATTTTGATAATGACGCCAGAAATGAACTTTAAGAGGGTGTGCATGTGTGTGTATTTTAAAATAAAAATCAAAAGTGCCAAATTAAAATAATTAAAACATTGTCTAATTATTTCGAGATTATTGTGTGAAGAATATAAAAAATGATTGAGAATATTATAAAGCACATTAAAAAAGAGAGATTGAATAAAGAGAGGAAAAATTAATTTAAAGGGTTTTTGGGAAACATAACTAATATATATAAACGAATAAAATAGAAAAAGCCCAAAAAATTGAAGGAAAGAAAAGCAGGCCAAAACATTGTTTGGGTAGATTGAGTAACCAGCCTAGATGAAGGCTTGCACAAGTCTATCCAACCCGCATGAGGCCAGATTAAAAAAACAAAAACAAAAAAATAACTAAAGCTAAGGATAGGTCATTTGTCTCCTCATCACCCCACCCATTCGAAAATTAAATTGAAGCTTATCAACAAAAGCTCCCAAGCATTGTATTTTTTGCAACAATTTCACCCAAAAATATCTCCAAATGAAACTTAAAAACTTATAAATATATTTTAAACCTTCAAATTCATTTTAATTCATCCTTAAACAACCAACATTCAAATCAAATTTTAAAACTAAAACTTCTAGACCATGACATATTTTGGTCCAAAAAATACGACATCAACTCCTTGTGAAAGAAAAGGGGAAACATTTTCATTCAACCATCAATATTTGGACACCAGTTCTGCGAGTTTTGGCAATGGTTCTCTTTCTTTTTCCTCTTTTCAATCCAAAATGTGTCAAAATGATAAATTAAGACATGAACTAGGGTTGAGATGGAGGGGTAAGACTAACTCTCCTAAGCCAAAACAGTAATTTTTTACTAAAATTGCTCCAAACCAACTTCGACTTGGAGCACAAAGCACTGTTCCTAAACTGCTTTTAATCAACAGTGAAAAGCATTGTAGAGAATGCATTTTGCTTTAGTATATGTTATAATATAATCATAGATATCATATACTGAAACTACTCTAACAATATTGAATGCATTCACCTATGAAGCATGAATACGGATACAAGATATGGGTAAGATATGATACAGATATAGCAATACGACAATTCCACAAAATTTAGGATGATATGTGAGGTATACGTTAATTTTTTAATTACTTTATTTATTATACAAATATTTATATATATATATATATTGTAAAAGTAAATAAAAATCAGTACATAAAAATCAATAAATGAATAGTAGATAAATATTTATGAAAAGTATATATAAAGTTCAAGTCATTTATATTTTCTTATAATTAAACTTTGGATGCCTAAAAATTCATTTATCTTGAAAAAGATTATAGTAACAATTATAATCATTTACAATTTCATTTTTTTCACTTTCAAAATTAATTAGTGGTACTCAACTTTCTTTAATATTTCATTTATGAAAAAATAATAATTTTTTATTCTAGACATAATGATGTCATATCTTTTTATAAAATTTGTATAAAAAAATTTATGATGCTTACGTTTTTCCTTCAAAAAAAATCTTATATGAAAATATCATCATCTCATCAATTCTCACAGTTTTAAAAATTTGGGTCTTGTTTGAACAGCTCTAACATCAAATAGTATCCCTAAGATACCCCCTCGTATCCTAGCCATATCCCCACATCTGATTTTTTTTATTATTATAATTTTGTCGTATCCCTGTGTATCCAATATATATCAGGTATGTATCGGGTCATATCCAGCACATATCTGTATCCGACAAGTGTCTGACACAGATATGAAGTATCCATGCTTCCTAGGCATTCACATAAGTACTTTGCTTATGTGCCCCATATTAAAATAATTTCAGTGTCACAGTTTCTTACCAGCATAGGAGCCCAAATAACACAGAGTAATATGAAGAACAGGCATATCCCACTGCAACATTTGGTCCATTTTGTTTGTTTCTCTCCTTGTTTGTGCTGAGCTCTATTCAAGACGGCATCACATTTGACAAGGTATAGACTTGCATATATATCCTCCAGCTAAGAACAAAGCCATGAATCAGACGGAGAGCTAAACTTGCAAATTTCCAAGCAAAATAATTCTAAGAAGGAAAAGGTATCAACCAAATTCACAAGCATTGATTGCTTGTCAATGACAAGAATGATGAAGCCACTAGAATCTATCAAAAAGTACATGAGAATGCTAGCTGATGCTACTTACCAAAGAGTCATGCAGGCGACAGAAACTTCATATTTATAATTCATGGCAATTTGCTTAGATACATATAAATAGGACTGTAGTTAGTCATTCAAGACAGGCTATGAATTTGGATTGACCGATAAATTGAGTTTTCACAGAATCAGTGACCATAGAGTCATGCAGAAACTTCATATTTATAATTCATGGCAATTTGCTTTGATGCCTATAATAGTACCATAGTTAGTCATTCAAGACAGGCTACAAATTTTGATTGACTGATAAATTGAGTTTTCACTGAATCGGTTCTCTTGGGGCTTCTGTTAGTTTGCCATTCATCAATGGCTCTTACAAGGATCCCAACAAGATGTATGATGGGTCTTCTCATGGATGTTTTAAACCTTGTTAAATGGGAGCATTTCATGACAGCATGACATTTTTAAGTGGCAAAGAAAGGATTCAATGGCTAACTTCAACTTCAGTAAGATACTCGGCATCGACAGAAGTAGAAAGATTTCTCTTTCCAATTAATCTATATGCCGGGCTGGGCCGGAGGGGAGGGGGGTGGGGGTGGGTGACCAACTGAAAGAAGAAAATAACAAGAACCGCAACGATGTTATGGTCATGGCAATTAGAGGCAGCTCATGAAATTTTGAAGTTAATTAAGCAAGATTGGTGTTACTGCAATGCTAGAATTAAAAAAATAAAAATAAAAATCTAAGATTACCTTCAACCAATCATACATGGTTAGTGACGTTGTTGTACACGACCAGTCCAGTACACATCGCAATTCGTAAAGAAAGGGCAGAGCACGATAAAGTCTATAGCAAAGGTAATTGATTCGCGAAACTTTGCTGGTTAAAAACTGCCGATACAAGGTGCTCTTATGAGGAATCCCATGACGAATTTGTATGGCTTGTAGTGCTAGAGAAACTGCTTTTGCAAGAAATATAGCACGGAGTGCTAGTCCTGCAGCATTTTGGGAATGTTCCAAGTGCCAAGCATACTCTGTAACTGAATATGTGAAGAGAACGAGGTTGAAAATATAGAAGATCACCTTTCCGGTAGCAAATGAACAGAGGTAAATTATGCGGTCCAGAACAATCAGGAAAAAGATGATCTGTAAAGCAGACAAAAGAATCAAAAACGGTTAGAAACCTTGACAAGATAGCACATGATGGCTATAAATCCCTGTAACTCCCAAAAAACTGAATTCCACTACCACACATTCTCACAGTTTGCAATTCAGTCCCTAAGAATGGGTCTCTAATTAATTCTTAAAATTCAATAAGATAATATTATTTTTTTTCTTCCAAGAAACCAGAACATATGCTGTCCATAGGCACCCATTTCAAGGGAAAGTAAGATAAAGCAATCATGAACTTGGCTGTGAGAATGGGTTGTCTGCAGAACTGCTGATTCCAGTTCAATTTTACAGTTCCTGTATTTATTGACTAATTCATTTAGACATTAATTAATCATTGAAATAAAATTCAGATATACCTTTGTAGCCTTCTGTACTTAATCTTAATCCAAAACTTCAATTGATACAGGACAAGTCTAAGGACAAGGAACAGAGACTTACCATTAAGATAAACACAAATTCTTTTGGAAACTGATCTTCAAGCTGATAAACATCAAGAAATTCACTTTTATTCTTTATCACAGATTGGTAGAAAATTGCAACCAAGAAGAAAACACTCAAATCTGCACCAAATATGTAGGCATAAAGATCAACTTCTCGTTTGCCTCCTCCAATTACAGAGACAATAGTGTATGGAAATCCAATATCTTCAACAAACCCAGCATGCTGTGCTTTCAGAAGCTCCTTTGCTACATCAGCTGCTGGTGTTAGTGACTTGTACCATTCAGCTGAAGCACAGCTTGTCAAAGGGGAGGCATATTCCACCTCAAAAACAACCAAGGCTACGTTTGGATTCTCTTGACTTCTTTCAATGCTTTGGACACGAACCCTACTAGTAAAAGGGCAAAGTTTGGGGTTTCTTTCCTTGCATCTCTCTTCATGAACCATTTTAAGCAATTGGTTTATTCCAGACTCTATTCTCTCTGGCTGAATTCCATCTTCTGGCCACAAGCGGACATCCAAAAACACCTGGACAAAATATGGCGGAGACTCTGCTCCCTGTATCAATGATTTCCAGTACCTAAAGAAGCTTCTTGTTTTTGATTTTACCATATTGCTCATTAAATGCAACAGCTCCTGTGCCCTGTCGCTCCAGCTGTAACTCACTGGAACCTCTTTTCTATGGAGAGAACTTCTACGGGACTTACTGTCGGTAGATGGAATCCATTCACCATCTTTTGCAGTTATTGAGCTCTGTAGGAGGGTAAACAAGTAGACAAGAAAAAGAGGCAAGGAACTGATGACAAAGGATGATGTAATTTTATGTGCAGGAACTCCCAACTCACGAAGTAGGACTGGATCAATACTCATTTTACTGTGCTGGATGATAATTTGGTAGAGATACTGAACCAAAATGTAAACTTCAGTGTAGATTAGCATGATAACCCAGAAGAAATAGCTCGGACCAGTGTTTACACATAGAGCATACAAGAAGAGAGCAGCAAGATACACCATTGAAAGCAAGCTGAAGTTCCATAGAAAAACGAGAAGAAAACAAGCATAGCACACAATATCATTATTCGATTGCATTTGGGACCATATATGACGGAAGATCCTTCCTATCTGCAGACTAGTAGCTTCAGAACTCATATCGGACTGCAGAGAAGATGAACGGTCAAAACTCATGCGCTTAGTCTTCTGGCTCTCCATTTCGTCATACGCCATATTTTCAGCAGAGGAGGGTTCATTGATATCTAAATCTTCTGGTTCGATGTTTAAGAAGCTGACAAGGTTGTTAACTGCCTGATTTCCAATAGATTGTACCTGGGAAACACCATCACCTATCAGCTGTACTGCAGATATCAAAGGGTTTTCCTTTGACTGGGACGTCCCTTTTTTGCCAGAATCAGAAAGTAAGCTATCAGTTGACTCCTGCATGATCTCTGTGATCTCACAAAGAGGAGGTTCTGCAGAATACTTCCGAGATTCTATTAATGCTGGATTTTCTGCATTCAAACTACGAGATTCATGCACTTCAAAATGTAACATTGGATCATCTGTAATGATCTGCTCTTCTTTCCCAAGGGTTCCTTCGCCTTTTTCTGGGCTCCCAGAATCCCTATCTAAAATACGAGGAGTGCTCCTCCTCCTCCTCAGGCCATCACTACCAGGGGAACTGCTGCCACCATTAACAGTTGAGTTCATGCCGTGAAGCTGGATTTGCAGGTTAAGCATCTCAGATTTCATCTTCTCCACTTGCAAATTACGCTGGCGTTTTTTCTCCTCAGATTCACGTATATATAGTAACTGTGCTGTTTTCCATGCAGCTTTCTTCTCTTGCTCACGCACAATTGCACCAATTTGCTCTGCTTCAAGATATCGTGCAATATAATCAAACTCACTGGAGGAGAACATATATGACTGAAGGGAAACCAGCATAAATATGATAATCTCCACAAGTGCAGATCTCGCAGTAATCCGAAACCCATAGTCATACTTGTAAAATCCAATCATTTCATATATGTATTCTATAGTCTCAAATTTCCCAGAACTAAATACCCCCACAAAAGGAGATTGATAGGCCAGCGAAAGAACAATAATAGCAAAGTTATATATGCGCAAGAATCTGAAAACCTTGTTCCTCTTCTTCAGTATAACAAGTCTCATCCGAAAGAAAACTAGAGCAAAAGCAAGATAACCAAGGTGCAGAATGTCATACTCAAGAGTGCCAGTAATTAAAATCAAGCAGAGCACAAGATCCAAGAGATGGCAATAGCAGTAAAGCCTCAAATAGTCAAGAAAAGTCCACATGCTTTTAGTCTCAAATGAGAGATCCTTCCAAACAAATGTATTTTTACTTTGAGACATCTTTTGACGATACGTCGATGAGCCTGATAAACTGGACAGGTGATCAGCACGGAGTTTAAAACAAGCAATCATGAAGACTGAAAAATAGCTGATAAGCATGCGTGGATCATCCACAATAAGTCCTACAGAAAAAGTAACATAATGAGATGAGAGAGAGTGCGAGAAAGAGAGATATGAGAAAGACAGGGAAAAGAACATATGAGACCCTCATTTGAGAACAAACGACATGCCATGAACAATAAACAAACTTGAAAAACACAAACAGAATTTTAACTTCAATGATTAAAAAAAAGATCTTGAATTTCTGTATGAAAAATCATTACTAAAACTCGACCAAACAGAAGAAGATCAGTACTAAGACTCTCAGACAAGAGTGAATAATTAGTCTCTGGACAAATATTGACCTTTCTGACATTAATGTGCAGGTGGGACTTTTTTTTTGTCTACCGACCTAAATTAACTAACAAAGATATTAAGTGGGTGCAGTATCGTTTGTTAAGAAAAAAAGCCTAACAAGTGTAAGAAGTAATACCAAGCCAACAATTCTTGCAATATTGGAAATACAGAGCAGAACTTTCCCAGCACTTGTGGCAGTGTGCATCTGTCTCACTTGGGATATTTTGATTTAAAGGAAACATGCTCTTCCAGATGGCAAAATACTCAAGGGTGAGAATCGAAGCAAACAAGAAGACAAATACAGGCCATAATTTCCGTATAATGCGCCGTTTTAAGAGAATACAAGCAGCAAGTAATGCAATATATAGCATAGAGATGGCATTCAACAATGCAAAACTGGCAAGAAGTAGCGCGATCATGTTTATCTCAAGGCCAAAGAGGTTGAACGTATTTTCTATCCAGAACTTCAAATATATTTTTAAGAGAGTCATCTGTGTTTTGAGTCTTTCCTTTTTCAATGCAAGAATCCTTTTCTTATTGCACTTATGACTTTCTTTGGTGCTTCCCCAGTTAAATCCAAATGAAAATTTACTGGTGCCACTACCCTCAAAGCTCCCCGTTTTATTGGACACCAGATCAGGTGCTTGAGTGAGACCAGTAGTGACTGATGGCAACGAGTTGCTAATAAATCCCTCTCCTTTTAAGGATGGCATGCTACGATATGGCAGTGGTTTATTTTCATCATTGGCAATGGAACCATTCATGAAGGCATCTTCATCTGACACAAACAATGGACAAGGCTCTTCCCACTTTCCATTATTTTGACAAATATTTGGCATCTTAGCTAACCAACGAAAGACATTGTACTGAAGTGTGCAAGCAGCAATCACCAGCACTTTTCCCCTCAAGCCAGACTCAAGGCCCCAAAAACCGGGCTTGTATGCACAGAAACCCAAGAAAAGGGACAACTCAGAGTGCTTTTGTCCTGGAAACATTCCGGCCTGTTTACCCCACATCTGAAACAGATACTCAGTTGTCACTAGAAATCCTGTGTAGAGTAAAAATGATTTGGATGGGATCCGAGAAGCTTTAGGTAAAGTTGAACAGACTAGAAGTCCAAGTAAATATACAAAGCCGAAAGCACTGATTGGAGATAAAGAAGCATAAAATAATGCAATAAACAAGATCTTCTGGCTATGCCAGATCAGAAACCGTTTGATGAACCCAAATACTCCAGAATCCAATGCATCAGGATCATGCAACCTATTATACTTGCTCTGTCTCCTCTCATAGCTATAAAGTTGCATCACTATTAAGACTGCTAAAGAGTCCCAAATATTTTTCAATGACGAAGCTTGTGAGTTGTAGCCCAAATAAAAAAGCAGATCTATTAACCTGGACATCCATGTCTCAAAGCTGGGGAAACTGCTCAAACTATAGACAAAGACAAACACCATGACCGCATATGCTTTTAAGGGAAACCACAAACGCCTTTTCGTTTTCTCAACAAGCTGCCTTCCAGTTATCCACACAAGAAGAAGGAAAATATACCCAAATGATATATAATTGGGTTTTACTAGGTACACTGTGAGAAGAATAGTCAGAAAAGCAACGTAGGTTCCGCATGATCGATAAGTAGAGAGAAACTTCTGTCCAATTGCACCAAGGAATGATGCTATCCTACTCTCTGAAAGCAGAAAAGAGAAATTAGTTTCAAATACTTGGTAGTAGCCCCAACAAGCACCAACAAATTTATACTAAATTTCAGACATAACTCTCGTTTAGAAATTGTGCATAGAAAGTCAAACAAATAATTTGGTTATTGTCCAGGATATGATAGAGAATTAATGTCAGGGCGACAACCAGTCCTAAAATAATTTAATACTTTTACTGCTCCCCATAATTTGATCAAAAGCACCATAAAGTTGTACAAGATTATTTCTATTTCTAGTCATGGCAGAAATGAACTTTTCATTTAAAATACTATATTCATCAACAGATTCCAATGAGGTGGAAATATATGAAAAAATAAATGTATCATGGAAGAGAATAGCTATTTCAAAAGAAATATCACCAATTCACCATAACCTCATTTAAAATTTGGTCAGATAAACAGTTCTGGATTTGTGATTAGAGTAAGCTAATACCCAAGTGATTCAAAATTAATGGAGACTTGGGTGAATATACCATAAGAAGATTTATAATGTCCATATCTGGTGGTTGAGGAGGCATACACGGACAAGAGGACTGATTTGTTCAGGCCAGCTTTCAAGATGCTAAATCCGACGGGGGGCTAGGGGTATGCTGCACAATTGCTGAGAAAGAAAATAACATCTCAAAACCATGGTTATGAATGGCACAGAAGCAAGCAAGGAGAGCTATTTCCAAGAAATCCCAGGAACTGTGACGTTTAAGAAGCCCTGCAAAAATAACATAAAAGATTGGATCCACATAAATGTTTCTCCTTTTGAGGTAAAACTCAAAAAGTTGGCATGTCAACTATACGCCACAAGTCTGGGAACCTCTATATCAACATACATGGTATTAAGAACATAAACAATCCAAACTGAGACTGTTAAAACTATACCCACCTAACTGCAGCAAAATTTCCATTGTTAAGGAGCCCTTTCGCTCCAAAGCATGAGAGATTAGATTAATCTCAAGAATATACAGCATTGCAAAGTGAACTTCACACAGAAGAATCAGTGGCTGACGGATTTTTCTGCCTATATTGTGCCTCAGAAGATATATCAAGAAAAATATCACTGAAGCACAAGTCATAACAAAACACCAATTAGTTAACTCTATAATGCTCATATTTATGTAACTAACATAAGTTGGAAAAAGGTCCTATGCCAGAAGTCAATTACATAAATTAACAACAACACAGACTGACTTCTTGATTTTCTAAGGGGTAAAAAAAGAACATACTATATACAGCATGGATAATTCCAGGTTTCATGGCAATGAGGAAGATCAGCACCAGCATAATAGCCCGAGAACATTTTCGTAGTCCCCATGCAATTGTGGCCACAATCAATACCTTGGTGTCTTCTTCTGCTGCAATTAAGGAATAAGAAAGTACAATTATATAGATGAAATGTAACCCTGATCAGTTACATTTACTAAATGAAGACCTTGGCAGAATTGAAAATGAGACAAGAGATCAAAAGATGAGTAATCATAAGAACTTCAGGACCAATAGATACAGCTTGTATCACTATCACAGTAATTGAAAATTAATATAGAACTTGTTTCACGGTTTCGTATAAGCTCCAACCGGATTTATAAAATAACGAACCTAGAATCATTTTGAGGTTTGTAATTAATAAGAAATGAGGGTGAGAATTCATTAATAAGATTTTTCAAGGAAAAAAGGAAGCTGATCTGGGATGTGAAATTGTAGAAATAAGAAAACAGCTGTAATATTAGAGTCAAACCAAATATAACAGAATGATATTGCAATCTTATTGAGACTTGAACTGTGTCCAGAAATCAACATTTCATCCTCGTCATTTTGCAATAAGGCATCATTCATTGTTTTGGGAAGGATCTAGCATGACTGTTGGATGAAATTAGAGCAAGGCTGCTTGATTTCTAAGCAGGACTTTTGAACCTAGAATTTATGGGAAGTTAAAAGTATAGGGAGTAGATACAATTTTTTTAAAAAAAAAACCAAAGGGAGGATTGATATAATATGACAACAGAGGTTGAAACTGTCTGACAAGACTCGATCATTTCCAATCACTTGTTGAAAGGTGAAAAATCAATTCAACTCATCCTGACATTCTTATTCCTTTGCTTCTAAAATTATTGGAATTGCAAGATTAGCATTTTATTATCCAGTTTTATATGATCATTCAAGGTTTCTCGTCATTTTAAAGAATCATATTATGTTCTATGTCATATTGGATGTTTATTAGGAATCTAGTTATATCTTCTACTTGAAAGGTTCTTCTATGGTTTCGTGCTTCTATTCCTATACAGTTTAGCTTTGTCTTTTTTTGAAAAGCTTTGATATCTATATGAAGCATCCTAATAAGACATCGTACAAGGAGGTCAAAATATTGATTGACCAAATAAATTAAGTTATCAGCGGTCAGTTCTCTTAGATTCTTATGAATTTGTTTTACTCATTGCATGGTTATGCATCAGTTATACACCATTTATCAAATGTGAGAGCATGCCTGATACAGCTAAACTTTTTAAATCAAGTTCTTCATTCACCAGCATCACCTCACCCACTTCTACCCCGATGAGCTAATTAATCATCTTCTCAACCCTAATTCCATTCACAGATCTTATTAGGAGATCAGTAAACACAATCAATTGCTCTTAGACAGCAACTGCAACATATATGATACGTCTTAAACATAACTAAAAGTTGAGAAGTATTGAAGATCATATTCAAGACTTAAAACCAATATAACGAGCTGCAGAAAAACTTTATGGCTTGTCAATTATGAAAAGCACAGAGGAGAGCAAGTGGAAAAGATGTGCATCTCGATACATGCTTGATTTTGCATTACTCGTGGTTTTAAAAGTTGCCCTCCGTTGTCTTTACAAATTTTGAATAATATCTAATTTACTCTGATGGCACAATTGGCTTGTCACCATCATCTTCAATACAATGCTGGATTATTATGCTTAGAGGACAACAGACAATTCTTACATGCAAACCACAATATTTGTGATTCAATAATTAATCCAGTATGCATGGATTGGACATATGGTGAGGTCTACAGGCTTAAAAATAGATTGATGGCATGATTTGTAGTTAAACCTTAATTATGGAACATGTTACAGAGCTTTGGCCTGGCAGGATTGAAGAAGGACCCCTCAAGAAGTCTTACACCGCCTTGACCTTTTCTTAATGGACTTTTAATTATTGTTTCCTTCTAGATACATGGTATCAAACAACTTAACCACGTCATAAGGAACACTTGGCAACATTTTCATTGGTGAAGTGTTCCCTCTCTCATTATAAGTACCCTTCATATCACTCATCATGATCCTTTTACCCTCATCCACACTATCTTCCTAACTTCACACTTCCTCTTTCTAGCCTATCTTTTGCATATGGAGTAAGTTTCCTGACATTGACGTGCCAAAGTCCTAACATGGTTGCACCGACATCCTCACCTTGGAAGTTACACTTACCCATCATGTCCAAACATTCCTCTAGGGGAGGTGTTGACAGTCATTAGTTAGTAATTAAGTGGCTAAGTTTATTAGGGCACTTATGTAATATTATCTACTCCTACCCTTCTCCTATGATCATGGGTGTAGAGTGAAAAGACAGTACATTTTGCCTAAAAATCCCTTGTTTAGAACCTTTCTTACATGTTTTGGTTTATAATTGATATTCAATTATCCATTTTGGGACAACCTGTCATTACACTCCCCTTAAACTAAAGAATTTTTTTCCCGCACTCCTAACCTGCCATGCACATCCTGCTACATTAAGCGTTCTGACTTTTCTCATGCCTCTTTCTAACCCTTCTGGCTCTCTATTTGTGTATCACTTGCAAACAATACTACCTTGCCCCTTGTATAAACAAAAAACCCTCATGTACAACATCAAGTTTCGAAAAATGATGATAAAACTAAGAGTGTGCGTGTGTGTGTGTGTGTGAGAGAGAGAGAGAGAGAGTTAATAATTTAAGCATCAGGACAAGCTAATATATTTGTATCATGACAAATAAAACAGAATAATCAGTCACTTAGTGTTAAAACAGTGCGTTTCATTACCTTCTACAGTTGAGTTGTCATTAGAAGATCCATTACCCTCATCAGACATGTAGAGGAAAACAGAGTTGTTCACAAGATTACCCAGAGCAACCAAAATGCCCAGACAAAATTGTGCTAGCAAAAAAAATCCAGGAATGGAATAATGCCATAACCCAACCATGTCCCATATTTCCATGTCCTGCATGCATAACAAGTAATGAATTTAAACCACTTAAACTCTAATTACAGTAAGAGACAGCATGTTTCCACTGAAAGAAAGGACTACCTTCCCAAGTTTCCAACTCAAGAGTGGAAAAGCAATGTTGAAAATATATGTGCTAACCGCCCAAAAGAGAATGAAGACAAGAAGCAGCCCATTTAAGCGATGCAAACGAAACACAGAAGGGAAGGCATAGACAATGTAGCCAACATATGCAAGTAATCCAAATGCACAAATACTGGCAAAATGGAAACTCCAGTAGGAAAGAGCAAACAATGAGACCTGTCAAACCCAGCATTAAAAGTCAATTAAACAAGGATTCAAAAGATGAGACCACATTGGTCTTAGTACTAAGAGAAAAATTAAGCAACATTATATACACCAGGGAATAAAGAAGAAAATCGTGCAGTTGTAGATTGAGCAACAACTGGTGGGTTCAAGTGGACTTTCTCCAATGTTGCCAACCCGATGGCATTCAGACAGAATTAACCAGAAATAATTCAGAATAAAATAATTTAACCTATTATTATTAACTTGAAGTAAATCAGAAAAACAATTGCCATATCTAACTCAATTTCAAGCAAGCACTATAAAGGGCCTTCATGCTTAAAATTTTCCTTCCCTCTAGTAGTAGTATCATGGCAATGAAATAGACCAGTCTGGCAAGCAGGTGACATGTAGTTTCGAATATGTACCGGGAAACCATACGTGAAAAAGTTGATGCTGAAAGTCCGAAAAACTGCTCCCCTTAATAAAACATTAGTATGCCTGACACCAGATCTGCAAATTACCAGGTTCAGTACGTTTGACATGAGCAAAGAAAACTTCTGTGTATTACTCAACAACCTATGCTCTGAGTTGGTTTCCGACAGCATAAAAGCTAGTTTTATTTAGTCCAGACACGTACTTAAACTTTCAGAAACTCCAACAGCATACACATGCATGAGAGAGAAACAGAGAGGACGAAAATTTCAGGATGTGCCAAAAATGTATTACACTTCATAACAAGCTAGATCAACTATATTGCAGGGTTACAACGGAAGTAGACAAAGAAATCATTTTCCACTAGACATATATTACAGTACTGGTATTTTATCATCAAACAAGAAATTCATTAAGTGCAAAATACTAGGTAAAACAACCTTAATAATTAACTGAAGAACATGCCAGTCAGTAAATAATGGTTAGTATCCAGTTTTGAGTCAGATTACCTTTCCCGCCAATACATTTTCTCCTGATTTGGGTTATAGATTACAACTATAACATATGGGCATGTGGGCCTTGCAATTTATTAATCTGATAATGAAGGAAAACCAACTAATTTTTCCTTATGCTTCCGAGCTAGTCTCCAATCAACTTCAAATTGCATCTGTAACCTAAAATATAAATAAACCGCCAACATGTTCTTCTGTTAAAGAAATTTGTCAAAAATTAACAGATGGGAAGCCAGCATGTGCCAGTCACAGGAAGTAAGATGTTGAAATGTGAAACTAGGAAGCCATCTGACTGGCACACACTGCTCCCCAAAATTTGTCATATTCAGTAGCAAAAGGATTTATTGGAGATTTACTATAGTAAGGAGATATAATAGATGCATTAGAAGTTTAAGTATACATTGGAAACTGTTGAAAGCAAGAGATTATCTGATTTTCCCCTGGGAAACATCACATCAATTTGATGGATTTTTAAGTCCAGGACCAGATCCTTTGCATATAATGGGGTTATAGCATGGCAAAGGTTGATTGTGTTCACATCATTGAAGAGAGAAGACTATGGAACTAAACTTCATCCTTTGGATATACTTCAGTCTTATGAATTGAATCGTTCAAGGTAGGCTGAGAATAAGATTATACAGTTTGGTCCGCGGATGGGACTAGACCTTTCTTTTGCAAGATTTTTGTCTGCCATCTGTCGCAAGACCCAAATACATACCAATTTTCTTTGGTCTAGACAATTTGGAAGCTAAATTGCCTTCTAAAATTAAAGCATTCATTTGGACAATGGTACCCAACAAGGCTAACACCAATGATTTGTTGCAAACTTTATGGTTCCACAAGGCCTTGTCTTCTGATATTTGTGTTAAGAGTCACCAAAATGGAGAATCTCAGAGTCACTTATTTTCACATTTCCCTAAAACTTAGGATATGAGACAACAATTGTTTGATCTGGTAGTGACTCTTGTGTTATCTCAAGGAGTAGAAGAACTTTTAGTGGTCTCTTCTGCGGGTTCTGGAAGGGAGAGAGATTGTAAGATTTCATGGAGATGTGCTGTTAGTGCAATTATTTGGTGCGTTGGAATGCATGGATTTTAATAATCACTCCACTATTAGATAGCTGACAATAATTATGGTGACAGCTATGTGACAACTATTAGAGCCTATATCTGTAAATCATATTAGCTGTAAATTAGTATGCTAATTGCTATTATTTAGGGAGTAAATTAGGTTCTGTAATTTAGTAACTTCCTTTTTCATAGACTTAACTTTGTGTATATAAGGAGACTACTGGAACAAGATCAGAACAGGGTTTTTGAGTTCATATTCTCTCTATTTTCTTTATAATTGACATCCACATCACAGCAATTGCTGTGGAATAGGAAAATCTTCTAGGCTTCTTTGTCATGTCAAACTGCAGGAACTTCTGGAGGTGCCTCTCTAACAGATTTACAAAGGGATTGCTGTGCTTTGTTATTCTGAACTAGACTGTTATTTCTTGCTGTTTTAGATGACGTCTTAATCTCCAATTTTTTACTATCCATGTTGCTCTAACAAACCTTTCTTCTTTTATCTAATGAAACAACTGTCTCAAACTTCAAGAATTTGCAGAAAAATTTCATTAGAATTTTAACCTGCCCCCTAATGTTTATCGTCCCATAATTAAGAACAGAGATGCCAAGAAAATTATTGGAGTGCAGGGAGGGAAAAGAAAGACAAGGTAAAGTCTGAAGAGCAACACTCAGACTACTGTCAACAACAAACAAGTTTAGATTCCAGTGTATGGCACATTAGACACCTAACCGTAACCTTAGACAATTTCAGAGTATAGAAAAAGACCATCTGTATTCTTTTTTCTTGTAATGGAATAATCATTGCAATTATATTGTAAGAACCAGAAACAATAAAATCAAAAGGAGATAAAACTATGCAAGCAGATCAAAGAATGTTCCAAGTTTTACCTTGATTTGCGAATAAAAAATGAATGCCTCAAGGGAAGAAGTTGCTCAGTCAAATTACTTTCTCTCGTAGACATAATGAAATCCATTTCCTCCAAATCACACTTAATGAAGGATAACTGCATTAGAAAGCAGCAAAGATTTAAAGCCAAACAACAGCAATCAAGTACAATGAAAAAGACCTTTTTTACCACTAATTTAAACTTCTCATTGGAAATTGCAAAACAAACATATGCTGCAAATAATTATGTGTTGCATCATTAATTGTTAGGCAAATTATGGTTCGCCAACAGTAAAGAACTTGCATGAATAGAATGATATTTAACAAATCATCCATTTTCCCCCCAACAAGGAAGTGCTCTAAGTAAATCTGCCATCTCTTTTATAAAAAAAAATGGGTAATCAAGAGGGAGCTTCATTTCCAAATTGAGAGCTCCTTTATTTGTGCAGCATACATTTATACTCCTTATTTGCTATTTGAAAGCTCTCCTTTCATTCAAAAAATGCCATATCCACTAATGCCGCCGCTTTATTTTGCTTTAGAAAGGCATCTATCACATCTAAGAGCTTCAAATCTTTAGCATATAGTCTTTCTCGAGATTAAAAGTATTAATCTATTTTTCCTTTTTCTATAAGGACAAGCAGACCAGTCTTGATCCTACCTAACACTATCAAAACTTATGTACTGAAAATAACTTTCTTGCCTTTTTATGTCGTACTCTTGTTGACCTGTCCCCCCAGTCAATTTACCTATTCATATTGTTGGGTTTTTCCCCTACTATCATTGCGGAGGCCAAATAAGCTCAATACAGATAGGGCATAAGCCTAATAATGATGAGGAGTACTAGTTGCAAACTACCAATGGATTTAAAGCTATTCGTCTCAAGAACACCTCGGTAAGTTTAGATTCCAAAGAAAATGCAGAAATGTTTAGATCTAAAAAGTTAAATTTGATCCAACCTATTTCTCCCCAAGAAAAATGGAGGCTGAAAATCATCCCAAAGACTAAACATGGATGGCGCAAATATCCTCTCAGAGGCTAAAAATGAAGTAAAAAAAGGTGAAGATGGCTATGCCCTTTGCACAAATTGAAAGCCAAATAGCATTTTCGTAAATAGGAAGTCTTTTCTGTTTTGAATTGTTGGAAATTCAGAGGCCAAATAATTAGACTAACAAGTGCATGATTAACGTCACCCACCAACACAGTCAAGCAGCAATGCAATCAGATTCCCCTCTTTACTATCTTCCTGGCAAAATCTACCTACTTCAGCTTCAAGGAGACAGACAACAACCAGAGAGCACAAGTTTCGATGCATCGTAACAAAAACCACATGCTATTCCCAGAAAACCGAAGGAGAAACCCAGACTAAGAGTGATGACAAGCACTAAGGGCCATCTTCTATAAGAAGAAGTGAATACGGACACACACTACTATAAACACTGAAGGGCTAGAGGATGATTATCTACTCTTGAACACTCCCCCTAGGTGTTCTAGAGATATGGATGAGTATCTACTCTAATTTACTTCTCCATATTCTCACTCTATGCTTTTTTTATCCAAAATTAAAGTGTGCATTGAACAAAAGAAGTCTCTGCATTTACAATTTCTAAAATCTAGTGAACGCTACAATTATTAATCTTGTTTCATGATGTAGGATAAATGTAAAATGGAGGATTTGTACGACCTCAACTCTAGATACGTGGAACTCAATTTATTTTTTGCGATTCTAACAGAAAATCTGATACTGATTTAAAAATAGTAGAGTTTATGATAACAGATGCATACCATGATGTAAAAGAATACAAGAGAAAGACCGGAACAAATTTCAGGCCACTCGGATTTGCCAGATATTTTGAACAGGCCAATAAAATCAGCTATGCACTGAAGTGTACTGGGGAACTCTAGAGGAAGCTGATAGATGTAAAGCAGTATAATGTTAAAGCTTGCATACAGCTGAAGAGGCCTCCACCACCTTCAAGACGTGCAATCAAACAAAGTCACTTGAAGAAGTAACAATTGGTCAACACAGATTTAGCATATGTGTCTGTGGGTGGTTGTGATAAAGAAGGGGTGGTGATGGATGAGAGAGAAGTGCAAGGTGATGTATGCATAGTAACCTGAAAAGTCCAAGAAAGTTGCTTGTTAGAGACCAATACACAAGGCCTGCACAGCTGGCAAGAAAAAAGGAAGAGAAAGCCACGAGGGATGGCTTATCCCCACACCCAGTTGAATGGCAGGCAACAGCAAACAGGAAGCAACCCTAAGATGTGAGCCTTCCATGAAGAAAAACAGAAAAATGATTCCAAATCAGTACCAACATCCTTTTTTTAACCGATCAAAACACTTTTGCTCCAACAAACAAAAAGTAAGAGCTTGAGATTTCATTGTTTTGCTCCCATTCAAGGAATAGTGTGTTAAAAAGCAAAGAAGAAAATTATCCATGATTGACCAATTCCGTTCAATATCTGCCTCCTACATATAGTTTACTTATATGACTTATTCATGCAAGGTTTTAATCAATTGTTACCCGAAAAAATTTAAAACCTCAATATCTAAAGAAAATCTTTAAACCAGAACTAAAGCAAAAAACCTGCCCAGTCCTGAGGAGAAAGAGAGAAATGCATACCCATCAAATGAAACTCTATTAGTGGACAGATTAATGAGAATACAATAATGCACTCTTGCATATCCAATTCACAAATGGTGTTCAAATGATAACGTTGTATTTCTATTTAGAACATTTAGTACTGAAATAAATGAAGATTAAGTTGTTACATTTGCAAATTCAACCAATAAGAACGATATTAACAGGCATACCATGCATTTTAAGAGAAAGAGATCAATTAAAAGGATTTAAATTGGAGCTTTCTTAGCTACTTACAGACCTAAATGTTCAAGAACATTCAAGAAATGGTCCCAGCAGGAACCTTGCCACGGAACCAGACCAAATCTGCTCCCATATATATCAACTAAAGCAACAAAAACCGCTAATAGTTGTATAACCAAGAAGTAAATTACAAGTGGTGATTTCCAGGAACGTATTCTGCAAAATTATATAAAGAGAAAATCTCAATTCATGAGGATGCTATAAGGGAATGAAAGAAGCGAGCAGATTAAATTCAACGCTTACACCATAAAACCAATCAAATGGGCCCACCATGCATCTGCTCCACTCCATTGATTTCCCAGAATCGCCCAGATAACAAGATACACTACTTGGGAAAGAATGACTACAAGGGAAAAGATAATAATGGGCCACAATAAAAAAAGTCGCCGCTGAAAACGAAAACCTACCAGAACAGAATGTTGTGTTAGTAGAATAAAGCTCGATGAAAAGGGGCATGAAGAGTACTGCTACTGGCAATACCAGATTTAAATAAAGTTCAACTATTTTGCAAATAATACAAGTACTAGTGTCTATCCAAACATTTCTTGGCAAAATAAAAAACTAACAAAAGCATGTATGCAACTGCTCATGCAAGCCCTGAATAATCAAGAACATCTTGTCAATGCCAAAGTGCAAAGGCAGAGACTAACTGTATTAGGCACATCCTTCCTGAAAGTTCTTAATGGCTCACCTATTTTTGGTGCAGCATATTGAATGAGAAGGAAAGCTATTAAATCAACTAGAGAAATCAAACTCCAATTGATCAAAGAACCTGCAAAAGAGAGAGAGAGAGAGAGAGAAACATTTAAAACCCACCAAGAATATTAATCCCCCATGAGAGAGAGCAAGCTTCTAAGCTGCAGCTGAAAATAGCTCTAATCTTGAAGTTAGTTACTCAAAAAAAGAAAAACTAAATAAACTTATGGATGATGAATACCTGTTAAGAGCAGGAATGGCAAGACAAATCCAACAAGAAAATTCCCCATTGTTTGCAAGCAGAATCACATTGGTCTCCTTGCTTTCTTATATTTCGTAAAATCGCGAGAAACCAATTAATTCTTTTGGGTGTCAAAAGGATCGCTTGCTTGCTTCCGTCACTTGGCTTGGCTGTTTGTAGAAAGTGAGGAGGAGGGGAAGACCGGACGAGGAGGTTTTCTAACACCAGGAACAAGATCTTACTTTGTTGTTTTTACAACCATATTGCCTATGGGTCAATTCACTTGTAATGTATTTGATACCTGTATTCTTTTTTCATTTTTTAAGTTACTTTACTTTTTTTCCCCCTTAGTTTCTTTGATTACTTAATTATTTTTTGGGCTTAAAAGATAGATAAATTTTAATTTGCTTCCTGAAGTTTGTGTGTGTTTCTAATCTTACCTAAAAGTTTTGATTTATTTCAATTAAAATCTAAACCTTTCATTTTTGCTTGGATCAACCCTTATATCTTTCATTTTAGTTTCAATCAGCTCCTATATCTTTCACTTTTGTTCTAATTTCTCTTACACTCATTTTCATCACGTGTATAAATTTTAATTTCATCTTTGAAGTTTATAAAATTTATCAAATTATCTAAATAACTGAAATTAACAAAAATAAAAGACAAATGTATGTTTTAATTAGAACAAGTATGATAAAAATTAAGACGATTGGTTTTTTAAAAATTTCTTAAGTTTTATCAATTTCAATTCTCATTTAGCAACACTATCTTCTTCTTCTTTTTCAATATTATAGTTAAATAAAAATAAAAATTCAAATTGATTTAACTCTCTTTTTTAATTTAAATTTTGTCAAAAGTTTCACCATTATGGTTCTTCTAAGGTATTATGGTCCCTTTATTTCTTTGAAATTGTCATCAAATAGCACATTTGATATGTATAAATAATCACACTTTAGGTGATGTTAAAATTATCTTAAACTCAAGCTCCCATTCTATTTATATAGAATTTTTATTTTATTTTATTTATAAAATTTTCTAGATTTAATAAAAAGTGTAAGTATAAAATGGTAGTGAGCAAGTAAACGAGAGACAACAATAATGGTTGATATTTTTTATAATTTTTTTTTATCATATTTATTTTTAACTTAATTTTATTATTGTATTGTCAAACAACTTTTAGATAGTGTTGTGAAACAAAAAATTTTTTATTATATTTTTAATTGAAAAAAATGTTTTTTTAATGATTTTTTTTCATTTTAATTTATTCACTCTCATTTTTTTTAGGTTATATTGAGGTATTTCATCAATTTTAGAGAGAAAATTAAAGTGAAATGAAAATAAAAGATGTGAGTGTGATTGAAATAACCAAATATTTGATGTGAAAATGAAAAAAAAAAAAAACACATAAACATCAAAGGGACAAATTAAAATTTATCAAAAAAATAATTAATTCAATAGCAAAGAATATCTTTTAGCCAGCTTCTACATAAAGAAAAATTAAATACATCAAGTTGAAAAAAATTCCATGAGTCATATGTTTTTGTGAACATGGAGTAAAAGGATAATATAAGATTTAAAACAATAAAAAAAACGCATCAAAAGTTTTAAAGAACAAGAGAATGAAATTTCTCATTAATAGGTTAATTAGCTAAATAGTCTCTATATTTATTTAAAAAAATTTCTAAAAATGGTTACTCTTCAATTTTTAAATTTTCAATCAGAAAGGCATATTATAGAGTTCATTGGAGATAAAAATGGATGGAGTGATAAAATTAAGCAAAAGACTTGAAGTAGAAAAGAAATTGACGAGAGACAATTGAAGAAAAAAATATAAAGTAGAAGGACTAGCGAGCAAATTAACACCCCAAAAACCCACCGCACTGCTCAAGATTTGATAACTAACGTTATCAGCAAAAACGGCGTCGGACTGATTTTTGAAGTTAGCCATACATTTCTTATCGAAGTGCCTGCAACCTGGCATTGGTCGAAAAACCATGAACTCACTTCTCTCAAGCTCAACCTCTCTCTGCAACTCTCATATTTTGAAGCTGACATCCAAACCCACAAATTTCAGACTATCATCACTATGCAATACCAATACTAACCAGTACTTAGGAAGCAAGAGCCTGAGCTTGAAAATACGAGCCAGCAATAATGCAAATGAAGTGGATATACAGGCAGCAAAAGATGATCAAGAAACTGAAACAAGTAGTCAAGTTTCCAGTTCATCGTCTACTGCCCCCCTGCACTTGAAAAAGACCTCAAAAAGGTTGGTTCTATTATTAATTGATTTGTTTTTTTTATATGTGAGTTTCTTTCTTATGTTTTTCCCTGGATGTTGATGCTTATGTTTTTTGTTATAAATCGAGCATAAAAAAAAATTGTCTCTCTTTGCACTTCTACTACAACAGGTGGTTCAAAAGACTGCTGCTACCTTTGCACCAAGAGCTTCCACAGCTACCAAAAATCCTGCTGTGCCAGGAACTGCCTTGTATACTGTTTTTGAGGTTCAAGGCTATGTCTCCATGTTGTTAGGTGGAGCTCTTTCTTTCAATCTCATTTTCCCATCAAACGAGCCTGACATTTGGAGATTGATGGGAATGTGGTCTATCTGGATGTTCAGTAAGCTCAAGTCATCCTTCTCTATTTTTTCCATTTCTAAATTTGTTTATCTATTAATTACTCCATGTGCTGCTCAAATACAACAAGCGAGCTAGCTGCGGTTTTTTATAACAAGTCCTGTATCCAACATGGGCATAATTTGAACCTATTAAAGATTCTGTTGCCATTTTGTTTTTGGGCTGGCAGCAATTCCTTCCCTTCGTGCCCGGGACTGCTCAAAGAATGAGAAAGAGGCTCTTAATTATCTATTCCTTCTCATCCCTTTGCTCAATGTTCTAATCCCCTTCTTCTGGAAGTCCTTTGCATTTGTATGGTCTGCAGATACCATTGCCTTCTTTGGAATGTATGCATGGAAGGTAAGTCCGCTCTAATTTAATCCTTCCTTCAAGAACATTCATAGAGCTGATCTCTTATTTACTTTTGATGCTCATTTTAAAATACGATGCTTTCTGCAGTTGGGGTGGCTCCAGAAAACAGAGTAGCTAGTGATTCAACGTTTCTGCCTTATATCAAGAGGCTCGTTCTACGCAAATGAGAAAGTAACATTGCTTAAACCTACAATTGCATTTGCCTTACTACAGATATGGAGATAGTTTGCGTGCCTAGTGATTTTGCAGCAGTAGGTGCCTCCTGTCAGTAAGGAGAGGCCTGCATTTTCTTTTGGATGTGTAATGAGAAATCCATATTGATTCTATAGACTATCATCTCGGGGGCTTGCTTGCTTTTCTTATTCTCTTCTTTTATGTTGGGGATTCGATTCGCTGTAGATGATACCATGTACAAAATACCTTTGCTAAAAGATGTAACAGTAGAATCATTTTTGCAAAACAGACCAGGAAAATGATAAAATAGCATATTCATGGCAGGAGGCAATGCTGATTGGAAGTTGGAAGTCTTTGTGGAAAAGTGGAATGAATGGCAAATCGTATAGAACGTTTTATCTCTCCCATAGGTTTTCTGTTTCCGGTAAATTTGACAAAAAAGAAAAAGAAAACGTTACATTTCTTTTTCATAAGAACAGCAAATTACTCGACTATTTTAAACCCAAGTGGCTGTTTATGATGTGGGTTTGTGGTGCTATCATTGCTGCAGATGTTGAGGCACACAGAGGCGGTGGGATTCTGGATTGCTTGGGACAGTGTTCTAGTGATGCTGGAGGAAATGAGGCGAGGTAGATGACACAAAAACAGGTTGACAATGTGAGGCTAGTTGGCCACAACTGTGGTACGTGGCATCAGCGTTGGCAGAGTTGTTCTGAGAAGGCATCACTTCAAACCAGCAAAGCTTATTACCTCCGTCTCTTATTGTGCAGTTATGTTGTTTATCCGTTTATTTGCAAAGGGGCCGCCTAAATTCTATCAAAAAGAGACGAGACATTTTCAAGTATACTTTAAATAAAGATGAGTTAAAAATTAAACGCCGAAACAAAGCTCTATTTGTTTAACTGGTTCATGAAAAAGCTCCAGAAAGAATGGGTGAAGACAACTATTATACTAATACAGGGACTGATGTAATTTTGGGTCACAAGCTGTACGATGTTTATATTTATAAATGGTACAAGCTCAATTACCTAGACCTTTGTTGTGGGAGGAAAATGCTCTCTCAAGGGATATGCAGGACATCACCAAATTCACATATGGGTTCGTATTGTGAGATCTACTGTATCCATCGGAATCCCTTCACATTCACCCACATAAACCAATTGCCGACAAGTATTTTGCCATCAGTTACCAGCAAGGTCTAGCTGTACAAACAATTTCCTAAACAAGAATCAACAAGCACAAAGCATGCAAGTAAAGAGGCAATAAATGAAAGCAACAGCAGATTATTGTAAAAATATGGCTACTGAAAGAAGAGGTTAAATTATGGACCCTTAAAATCCTCCTAACTGCAACACTAAAATATTCCAAAGCAAACTAAATTTGTCATATTCAGCCATCTCGAAAGCTATCAACAATGTCATTAACAAGACATTACCCTAAAAAAAGCAACAGGAGCTAATATGCTCTCAAGCCATTCCACGAACAAAACATTACAATGCAGAAGGCGGCATGCACTGGCTGAGCTTATCTACAATTTTTAAGGAAGAATGTTCAAGATTTGGTAACTCCAATCTCTTATAGCTGTACCAGAACTTGTCATAAAACAATCAGCAGACCTTGAACATCCAGACATACAGACATCTGAGACCATTTGCTTAGTGTTTTATCTCTAAAATCTGCTAGGCGAATGAAGTCATGATCGTTTGCATGTGATTTAAGGATAGGATTCTAATTCATCTTGCTTGAATCTCAATGAGATGAGAGTTCTCAAATGCCTTAAAATTCTCGATAAAAAAATTCTTACCTTTGAAATTGCACCTACACAACATGAAATTCAATTTCATGAAGCTAAGATCCTCCACTTCAGACCACTTCCTACATCTAACTCATTGCTCTAAATGTGCTCATCATCCCTGTCATCATCATCAGAAGCAGAGTCATCACTCCGTCGTTCCATAAGAGTATTCATGTCAAATGATGGCATCTCCATCTCTTCTATGTCAATAGTGTCATACTCCATTCGTTGCTCAAACTTCTCATCAGAGCAGTTAAGGAGCCATGAAAGCGAACACTTCAAACCCTTCTTTCCAACCCTCTTGTGTCTTGGTTTTATAGTGGACTCCAAACCATATGTAAAGAAAGCAGGAAAAGTAACCAAATCATCAAAAGGCCTTTCCATTTCCTTTTGGAAGTAATCAAAGCTATGTTTCATAATGTCAAGGTTCAAAGCAAGCAACTGGGGACATCCCACAACCATTGCCCTCACTTGTTGCAAAGAAAATCCACAGTCTTTAAGGAAATCCACATGTTTCACAATAGGTATTCTACTAAGGCTGACGACCTGTGGCATCTTCTCAACAACTCTGCCAAAGTCCTCAGGGCCCAAATCAATAACCGAATGGAGTAAACTCTGTTGACCCAGAAGTTTTTCCTTCAGCTCAATTCCTATAATCTCAGGATATTGAGCTACCACAAAAGGAATTGACGATTTTCTTACATTATACTCTAACAGGGATTCAACATTTGGTTTCACCTGGTCCTCTAATCCAAAACCAAGGATGTGAGGTCGCTTTTCTATCAATCTAGCTACTGCTAATCTTGGTATGCCCAGGCTTTCAAGATACTCCACAAAAGGCTTGATCACCCGGCCTACTCGCATCCCCAAAATCTCTGGGTATCTAGTTAAAAGCCCTCCAACTTCTCTTCTTGCTACCCCAATTCCAACCAAATAAGCCACTGATGTACTCATGGTCCCTTCAAGCTTGAACCCCAGAATTTCTGGATATCTCTCAAGCACCCGAGGAATATCATTTGGCTTGATATCCATTCCTTGAAGATATTTGACCACAGGATCTAGATCTACAACAACACTAGCATGGAGGACTTGGGGATATCTCCTTAAGAACTCAGTGATAGTGGATTTCCTAACACCCAATTTTCCAAGATAGTCAAGCACAGGAATCATGTTCTTTTTCACACTGCAACCGAGAACAAGTGGGTAGTTGTTGATGTCCTCAATTGTGAGACCTAATTTGTGAAGGAAGTCCACACGTTCCCTCATAACCTCAGTTGTCACAGGAAGCTCCAACCCATCAAGCTCATCAGGGACAATACCAATTCCTCTTAAGAACTCATAAACCTTGGCACGATTTGCTACCTTCTCCTTTTTCATTTCCAGCAAACTAGGTCGACTATAGAGGGATGAAGAACTTCTTTGCTTCCGACCCAAACGAACATTATCTGTATTGGATAGAGATGAACCCACAGAAGTTGATGCAAACGTTCTCTCAGCGACAGAACACTGACATCTTGTAACCAGTTCAGTCCTCTTCATCTCATTACTTGGGATTCTAATAGTTGATATTGAGTTTAGCTGTAGTTTGCAATATACAAGAACAGGTAGCTCTGGATGTGCAAGCAAAAAACCAGGTCTTGTAATGCCAGCATAGCTTACAATCGTCATTATAGGTTTGTAGCGTCAGATGATCTGCAAAGAGACATCACGATTCGTGAGCTGCAAACTGATGCTATTTCACATCACAACTTAAACCATTCAATCAATGAAAAATTTAGCCCCTTGAAACAAAAACATAATCTTCGAAACTGAGAGAATAACTCCTAAAGGCATGGCACATGAAAGGCCCATAAAAAAAGGAAAAAAAAAAAAAAAGGTGCAACATTTTAAGCCTTCAGCATAAGCATTATGTGAAACAAAGGGATAAGGCTAACAAATGATAAGCACTTCAGTCATGTGGACCGAAAATAAATACATAATTCTATATAAAATTAACAAACTCGTTATAAAAATACTCAAAAAAGCTAGATTAACTGCCTGAGAAAAACAGAGAAATAACACCCTATTAAATTTACTGTATGTAGAACAACTTCCAAGCAACACAGATAAAACCTAGGAGGAACTTAAGCTAAAGAGTAGAAAATTCAGCAGTGGTAACATTTGAAGCTTCAACATTCTGTGTTTTACTTTCATTGGTTTACTTCATTATTAACGACCATCAGTCTCAGTATTAAGTTAGAAAGAGAAGTAGTGATTAAATTTAAAGAAGAATGCGAAGATTGAATTATTACCTATGAGCTAAACTAGGGCGAGTGACGCCCCCTGCTTTGGCTTCTTTCTTACTTGAGACTTGAGAGAGAAGAAGAAGAAGAAAAAGGGTAAGGTTTTAGAGGCCACCACCGCCGAACCAAAGCTCTTGTTTCTTTTCATCACTCTTGCTTATAATTTCCATGATTTTCAAACTAGCCCTCTGGATTCTGTGAATTATTTTATAGCCCTTTCCATTCTTCTCTTTTCACAATGTAGTCTTAGAAAGATAGGGACAGACCTAATTGAGAATGGGTATACAGATTAGGGACTACATTGAGATTACCCAATAATAAAGAGATTGGGCTTAGTGCTACTCTACCAACGTGTGAAAAAGAAACTTCCAGATCCATGACCACGAGCCCATCCAAAAAAGAAGAATAAAAAGCCCAAATAAAACCAAATCCAGTCGGCCTTTTTTTTTTTTTTTTTCTCCAAGGCAAATCTAGGATTGCAACAGATTCTATCCGTGTCTAGAAGCAGCGGCAGCAGGAAAAACATGAGGGGGAGCGGTGTGCTTCTGCTCTTCTTTTACATTTTAAGTTTGCTTCTTCTTCCAACCAATAGAGCTTCTTCTTCTTCATCATCTTATTGTTCTATCCAAGGTTGGTTGGTTGGTTGGTTTACTGTTTCTTTGTTTTATTTTTCTGCTTCACCTCAGGGATATTATTTATAGATTGCAAAATACTACTACTATATTAGTTAAAGATTGCCATCTTTCCTCTTGGCTTTCTTTTTTGATTTCGAAAAGTTCTTTAAAACACTCCCTTTCTGTGTTTAAAAGAAAATAAATGATGTTGAGATTTTTAATACAGGGTTGCCACTTGTGATGAATATCAGTGAGCTTCCACAGGATAACTATGGAAGGGGAGGTTTGTCTCATATCACCGTTGCTGGTTCTGCCTTGCATGGATTGAAAGAGGTGTGCTTCTTGTCTCAATTTTGAAGACATTTATAATGTTATTATTCTGTTTCTATTTTTTTTTTTTAATGATTACTCTTCCTATCTGGAAAATTGGAAATTGGCCATCTATGAGAAAATATGCTCTCTTTTGAAATGGAACTAGTCAAAAAGACTGTTTCTCTTGTAGACAAGTTGTAGATAACAATTGTTGGTTTTTAAAATTTATCCAACACATTTTCTGGACTTTGTAGGTAGAGGTATGGCTTCAGACATTTTCTCCAGGCTCACGCACGCCAATTCACAGGCATTCTTGTGAAGAAGTATTTGTTGTCCTAAAGGGAAATGGCACTCTTTATCTTGCATCGAGTTCACACGAGAAGTATCCTGGAAAGCCTCAAGAATATTTTGTGTTTGCCAATAGCACATTTCATATCCCTGTCAACGATGCTCACCAGGTGCACCTTTCTACATCAGTTGTTTTTGGATAGGATATGGAATTCTTAGGGTGTTTGGTGTTCTAGGAAGCTGCACTTCAGATGAATTTGTCTGAAGAAACTTCTTGTTAATCTAGAAAAGGAAACGAGGATAATCTCTAGTTATTATGACAAATTCCATTACTATTTATTTCTACAAGTTAATTTAAACATTTAGCAACAAGTATTGTTGTGGTGAATCAGGAACTCCCACCTGCAAATGCACCAAGAGGCATTTTGAAATATGAGAACATAAAAATAAAAAATTGGTTCCAATTCTAATCTGTATCTAGTTCAGAAAGGAGAACCTCAAAATTTTGAGGTTGTGTGTCTGAAAGAGCAACCAAACATGTCTGATTAGAGGGTTATCTTTAAATATTTGGATATCTGGCTCTTATCTTGTGTGCCTAGGAATGGCATTTCAGTTTTCATGTGAAATTGTGAAGGTTAAATTGAAATTTAATTTACAAGGGTAATAGATTGCTCGAGTATTGCTTAAGAAAGGTTAAACTGGTAGGTTCAAATTTAAGGCTATACATTAGTAATATTTCCATAAAAGTAATTTTGGTTTTGGTTGAAGAGGTAAAGTCAGGAAGGAAAATCAAGTAAAAACAGGTCAGGTCAAACTGAAGAATACAAATGCTCAATTGCTTGGCTTCCTTCAGAGTTCTGACATCTAAAACAACAGATTTCTGCAGAATTCATCACTTGAACTTTGAGTTCACAGGTAAAATATTATCAAGAAACTTGGAAACAAATATCTGAACCTTAGAAAGAACTCAAATGGCACTGAAATCTGGAAAAAAAAAAAAAATTATGTGGTCTTATTATAGGTCTATACTTGTCCCTTCTATATTCTTATGCAATTAGATTTTCTGGAAATTTGTCAACTTTTTTTTTCATGTGTTCCTCTTACACATGTAACTATTTCTCTGATAGCAAGTTTACGTGTAGAATAGTAAAGTACAATACGCTCAGGACATTTGATAGTGTGAAACGAGTCAGTGGAATTGTGCTGAAAGAAATATTACCCAAATAAAAATATAGAATATGATTTCTGCATCACTTTACTGTTTGCAAATTCGTTGGCATGGGTATTTGATTGCAATTTGGCAGTGCTGTTCCAAACACCAATATAGGTCAAAATCAAATACTCTTGATCTTGGCTTACTGAATAAGAATCTTATCTAGTCCCATGCTTAAGTTTGCTTGTCAACCTATTGAAATTATTTTATCTTCTGCTGTTTTGCAATTCTCTGTCACATGATTGTTTTCTTTTCTTGCTGCAGGCCTGGAATACCAATGAACATGAGGATTTGCAAGTGCTTGTCGTAATATCTCGCCCACCAGTCAAAGTGTATGCAAATCCTTTCTACCAGTCCCTTAAAACTTCAATACTTGCCAATAATGTGCTGCAATTTATATCTCTTTTGTTCTGCTTGTCCAAAGACCAGGTGACAAGCTTCTAAGCAGTGATCTTCACAAATATTTGCTGGTTCATAGATATCTTTAACTTTTACAATGCCCAAAAATCTCCACACTTGGCATTGAGTTTGATGATCTCGAACAGTTGTGGTGGTTGTTGTATTTCTACTGTGAACGGTTTTGGTTGTGGTAATTTAGCATAAATCCAGTTCTTCCTACTATGCATAATGATACCCCCCGCCCCTCCCCCTCCTCCTGCATTTGGCTTTTTATATTTGATCTTTGGTGGTAATACATCATGACACCTGTTGGAAGTTATTTTCACATTCATGGAAGAGGTGTCATTCCAGCCTGATGTTGCATTCCTCTTGGTTCATTATTCCAAAAGAAACAGCCTTTCTTACAATGCTGAGTACGCCAAGATGGGCATGAGAATATAAAGCGCAAGTGCAATTTCCCCTTTTTTCCTTCGTGGCAAGAAATATTGTTCTGATGCAACGATGTCTATCATGCATGTCAATAGGTGAAAGAAAGATGTCTTGTATTATTTTTGCATTCAGTTCCTAGTTTATTTTCTTATCTTGGTTATTGTTTTTTCTTTTTCTGATACGTCTCAGAATCCAAATCTAGAAACACCATGTGGTATTGTCCATCTAGTCAAGCTTCTTGTACTATACAATATGTTTGCCCTGGATATTGGAGGTCTTGTAACAAGTTTCGCGATGAATCTTGAATTTTTTTTTCCCACACTTATTTCTGCTATCCATGATATCAATGAGGTGGTATATGTTATTTCCTCAGCTTATGATGTAACTGGGTTTGGAATCAATTCTCATTTCTTTGTTTCCAGGTTCATTTATGAAGACTGGTTCATGCCCCATACGGCAGCAAAGTTGAAGTTTCCCTATTACTGGGATGAGCAATGCCTCCAAGCACCTCCAACTCCAAAAGATGAGCTTTGATATATACTCTTTCTTGTGCATATTTGCGAACACACTCATGGACATACTTATTGTGGACTGATAAATATTAGTGGTATGGAAGTTGTCTCGAAGTTCAGGATCATGAAGGTGATTCACTTGAATTTTGCAGCATCAGCTAAAAATTCAAAAGCTGTATAAATTTTGGAACTGCTAAATGTATTCCTAATTGGCATGTGGACGATTAGTGTTGATGTTTTTCATTCTGTTTATAGCTTTGTTCCGTATGATCTGTGCAATAGGAAGTTCTTGGGATAATTACAAATATGCTGTCCATTTGATTTAGGATAATCATTATGATCCCAACTAATTAAAATCCCTAGGAAAGTGATAATAGCAATAAAAACAAATCCCTTCATTTTTTATTGTTGAGTATATTTATGATAATCCTGAAGTTCTTATGCTTTAATGCAAAAATAAGAAAAAAAATTTACAGTTAAAAATTTTGACCTTGAAATTGGTATTAGATTCTTACGGCCCTCTTTGCGTATTAATTAAAAAAATATATGGTTAATTCAGTGAATTGGGTCTTAAATAAAACAAAAAAGAAGAAAGGAAAAATGAAAAGAAAATAAAAAGGAGTTTAAAATCAATACTCGTTTGGTTGCAAAGTGCTTAAGTTTGATTATGGTTTGTGGCTCCTTAAATTTGATTTTGTTTGTTTAATAAACCCTTTTTTTTTCTTTAATCTATATAGGTTGGCACTCATTTAAGGATTTAATTTGTGAGTCCTAAATTTTTATTTAGGAATTCTGTATAGATTGAGGGACGTAGGTTGATTACAGTACTCTAAGATATTGTATAAATACAAATTGATCTATTTATATAATTTTTCTTTTAAGAAAACAATATAATCTTCTTCACTTCAAAACATAAAATAAATGATCATTTATTTCCTATCATTACTTTTTTTTATTATTATTATTAGTTCCTACCATTACTTGTTGGCACCGTCTATGTATTTAATTAAATTAATAGATTAACATGCATGGATTTTAGCAAAATAGCAATAAGTAACATGCATAGATACACAATTATATACACTACTTGCCCAAGTCGGCACTAAAAGAAGTCTAACAATATTTTTTTCACAAAAAGTCAACTTAGGTTAAACAATAGCCAATAGTCGACTGTTCAAAAAAAAAATAGAGTAAATTATAATTTAGTCTTTATTTTTATAATTTTATTATTAAGTCCTTTTAGTTTTGGAATTATAAACTAATCTCTTCATCAAAGTTGATTATTAACTTTTTTTATATATAAAAAAATACATTGTCCTCAAGCGAGATTGGATGTTAGACAAGAGACGAAGAAATTGCATCAAAATCAAATTGTCATACAAAACTGACGGAAGGATTAAGTTTCAAACAAAAATAAAGACGCAAGGTTTTAATGTTGAGTTTTTCAAACTAAAAGGATTAAGTAATTCTTTTACTAAAAACGTAGGGACAAACAATATTTTACTCCTAAATCAATGGAGCTTCACTCTCTCTTTTGTTTCATTTCCTTCTCAACCAATAAATATAGGTCGTCCCTTCTTTTAAATGTGACTTTTGTTTTTTGTTTTTTTATTCAACTTCTTTCTGTAATCTTTACTTTTTTTTTTAATATGACTCAGTTCACTAAAATTAGGCTAATTTTTTGTTTGGAATTGACAGATGGAAAAAAAGAAGCCACATGTTCTGACAAGTTAGTATCCATTATATACGTGGAAATAAACCAAAAACCTCAAAAATTCCTAAATTATTTTTGGACAAAAAAAAGTTACCACAATATAAAAAACGAAGATAATTTTCTCTCTCTTCTCAGTCACGATCGAAATCCTTTCATGTTCATTCTTAGATTTTATTGGTTGATGATATTATCTTCTCACCATTGATTCACAACCAATATCAGCTAAAAATATTGTAGATTTCATGTGTTGTTGCTACGTAATCATTATTTGAAAACTCTAAAATCCCTAATTCAAAACCTTGAAAACCATATTCAGAAATTAAACTTGAATCGTGAAAAAATGATGAGTTTTCATTATCTTCTCTTACCTTTATGAATTGATTTTGTATTTCTCTTCATTTGAATTACGATAAAGTGGGCAATATTAAAGTCAAGGAATCTTTTGGCACAAAAGATTAGTTATCTTTATCTTTCATCGTCAATTTATTATATTTTTATGATAGGTTTTAAGTGAGTTGTGGTCCCTAATGTGAAAGAGGACAAATTTATTAGGCAAAATGATAAAAACTTGAAAACCCCCAAGACGAAAGCCAAGAAACCACAATCCACTGGTTTGATTTAAAAGTGATAAATGATGAATTTGTGTTTGTCTTCACCTACCCGTGTGTGTTAATTTATTATCATGTTTGTCTCCTCTTATCAGTGTTAATTTATTTTTAATTTAGCTTTGATGAACTGGTCATAACTATCTGTTTGATTATAGGGCTTTTACAATTCTGAATATACAAGCAGAATGAAGTTAGGATGGACGACTTAGGAGTGGGAGTGGAAAAGGAAAAGTAAATATTTCCTATGTATTAATTGAATGAATTTTTTTGTTTTCTTTGTCTCTTCAATTATGAATTATTGTTTTGATGTATCAAGAGGTGAAAACATCTAATGTCACTTCTACATACACTTTAGAGGTTCTTGCCAGTATATCAAGGAACACATTTATGGATCAAAGAGCAAAAAGTTCTATTATTGAGTCAATTCCTTAAGTTGACAACATAACAACATCTCCCATTACTAGGACTGTTCCCAGAAGAAAGCAGAATGGTAATGAAGGTACTTCTAGTCTCACAAGACCAGATCGACTACTAAAAAAGCCAAAAAACCTTAAGTTAGAAAAGGTTGTTTTGTTGCTGAGTCAGGTTTCATGATTCTTGATGTAAGTGTTAGACTGCTATTTACTTTAATCAATTTATTATTATTCAACCGATGGACATTTGTTTTTTCTTAAGTTGACATTGAATGTTTTGTACTGCAGCCTTGGCACTTTAAAAACAAATTAATTACAATGCCAAAAACCAAAGATCCAAAAACACCAAGAAGTTCTAACCGAAAGGGTGGAAAGAAGAAATCTGAAATTGGAACTCAAAAAAATAATGTTGTTCATCTAGGTGATTGATGTGGAAAATATGATTTAAGTGAACAATATGAAATATTTTTTAACAACCGCTTGTTTGAAAGTTGTGAAGAAGTGGTAGAACCATTTCATGTTTATTTATTTATTTTGGAACTCAAGTATTAACGAGGAAAAAATTGATGTCTAATGAGTAATGTATTTGTAAATTTGGTAATATTGATTTACTCAAGACACATGGTTCTTGTTTACTTGTGTTATGGTTTTACATTTTTACTATATCGTCAATGTTTAATCTGTTAAGACAAGCTAATCCAGAATTGAAGGCCAACACATTAAGGAAAAATAATGTCATAGAAAATTTTTTTACTTGCCTTAGTCATTACATAATGCCTATACAACATAACACACGAGCTCAATACCATTATCGTAGCACAATTCAATAGAAACCATTATATTTGCAAAATCCAACACAGGTTCAGGAACAAGTCATTCAAGAGTAAAACAAATTCAACACATTATCAAGACTAAGTCTACCGTCACATTTTGAGGACGAACTCTACTGCCACTTTTTCAAGGCTAACTCTACTGCCATATTTTCAATACCACACCTATTGGCTCAAGGCATGTTTTGGCAATTGACAGAATTTCAACACAAATTGAAAAATACATTCAAGATGACACAAATTCAACATAAATAGAGGAATAATACAATGAATAATGCATTTCAATCTATTGTTAATCCATAAACATCATTATAATTTGCAAACAAACAACACAATTCAAATTAAAATCAATCATATTTTACAAAAATTCAACAACTTCTCATTGTAAGAACTTGATCTTTTTATTGACAAAATCTTATGTTCTTTCTCTGTATTTTGTGTTTCAACCTTCACAAGTAATTCACTATATTACTGTAGCAGCAAATTCTTCTCTCTATAAATCTGTCTTTGTCTATTTTTCATCCCAAAATAATCAGTTTAGCTATGTCTTCTATGAAATCATCCTTCCACACCCAATAACCACAACAAAACGTTTTTATTACCATTGCGGGCAAAAAATTGATGAGAGAATTGAGAATTCATTCCATTACCTAATTTTCTACATGTTGACGACGAAGATGGTGAACACATCAAATTTGATGTTTTCACGAAATGGCAAAATGAATTTGGGAGTTTTATGGTTAAATTGATTTGAGGGTTTTTGAGTCTATAAGAGACTATAAAGAGAAGAATGCTAGCTATAAAGGAATAGAGTTTGTTTTTCTTTAAGGAGACTCTCATAAACAGAGAAACTCAAAAAAGATGAACAGAAAAAGAGATAAGAGATTTTAGGTTTTTTTGGGAGATCTTTCAGATCGATGGTGATTGAAAACTCGAAGAAGATGAAGAGAAGAAGAAATAAGAGATTTTAGGGTTTTTTGTGGGGATTTTTCGGCTCGGTCATGACTGAGAACTTGCAGAAGATGAATAAAAGAAGTGATAAGAGATTTTAGGGTTTTCTAGAGGATTTTTCAACTCCATCATGACTGAGATGAGAGAATTTTGGGGGTTTTTGATTTATTGTCACGTGTAATGAATATTAACCTGTCGTGCCACATGTCTTTTTTTTTGCCATCCGTCACTTGCAAACCGAAAATTAGCTGGATTTCAAAAAGACCACATTAAGAGAAAAATTAAAAGATGAATAAAAAAGATATATGAGCTCCATTAAGAAAACTAGTAGGGTAGAATTACTTTTTATGCGATTAACCTAATAAGTATAATAAAGTTTATTGTCCTCTTAAAGCTTGAAAAAACTTGGATGAGACGGACAGAGGTGGAATTCAAAAAATCCAGTCGATTTAAGAAATTCAAGACTCTGTCTCCGGTGTTGTAGCAATGGCAGCAGGCTCGAGAAGCAGCAAGAAGATGAGGAGGAATGGTGTGCTTCTGATCAATTTGTACGTTTTAAGTTTGTTTCTTCTTGCAACCACCACAGCTTCTTCTTCTCGTTGTTCAATCAAAGGTTAGTTGGTTTTCTGTTTTTTTTTTTAATTTTTGTTAATTTTTTTTCCTGCTGATCTTCATGTGGATTGCGGGTTGCGAAAATTCATCTTGTTTGTCAAAATATTCAGGATTGCCACTTGTGAGGAATATGAGTGAGCTTCCACAGGATAGCTATGGAATTGGAGGTTTGTCTCATACCACTGTTGCTGGTTCTGCCTTGCATGGATTGAAAGAGGTGTGTTGTATCTATTTACTCCTAAACTCTTACTTCATCTCTTGTGCAATGCAATCTGTGTTCAAAGATAATCCAATTTTAGCAAACTCTCTCTCTCTGTTGACAACTACCCACGACATAATCGCAGCTGACCTTTGCCAAATAATTCCTACCTTAGAAGAAAATATTTACTCCTCATTATTTGCCATTTCCCTTTTTTGTTGTTGTTTTTTAAATGTTTGAAAAAAGAACCAAAAGACTTTTTTATCTTGGATTTGTTTGTTCTAAAGAAAGTGAATCCCAACTTTCGAAAACCACTTTGTTTGACTTGCAAAAATTCAGCTGACCTGATCAACTCAAAGAACGAAATAAAATGCTGCCATACTACCCAAATGAGCGAAAGACTAGAAGAGCATCAAAAGCACACTAATGAAGCAATCAATAGAGAAAGATTCTAGGAAAGCAGTAGCTATATTCACAAACTTGACCAAGAGAGATATGCTTTTGAGGGACGAAAGTAGGCAAAACCAATTCAGCTATTTCCACCAACAATAAAACTTTAGTGCAGGACCAACGTGTTATAGACGCACTCGCTCTTTCTCTTGAGGAGACTTATTTCGAACGAGCTTGATCCTTTTGTTTTGAATTGGTGAGTTATCATATTTAACACGTATATTTTTTGGCTTAGAAACCAGTTTTAACCAGATAAAATGTGCCTCCATCCTCTTCTTCCCTGAATCCTTATTGCCTACTAGCTGGTATTATGTTGTAGAATAGTTCGGTATAGAATGGGGGTTTTAGCAGCTGAAATTGGCTCGTTGCATTTGGAGGTTCATGTAAGTTCTGTGCATTCTTTTAATGATGTGGAGTTGAACTAGTATAAGATATTTAACTAAATAGTATTGTTAATATTATAGCCATTTTCTTTGTTTTCGTTCCTTTGTCTTGATTGGACAATAAATGCTGATAAACACAAGACAACGTCTTTTTCAAGAGTTGTCCAACACATTTGCTGAACTTTGTAGACAGGTTGTGGATGACAGTTATCTGCTTTGAAGAATTTTTTCCAACATTTTCTGGACTTTGTAGGTGGAGGTATGGCTTCAAACTTTTTCTCCTGGTGCAGTCACGCCCATCCACAGGCACTCTTGTGAAGAAGTGTTTGTCGTCCTGAAGGGAAGTGGCACACTATATCTTGCATCAAATTCACATGAGAAATATCCTGGAAAGCCTCAAGAATATTTTATATTTGCCAACAGCACATTCCATATCCCTGTCAATGATGCTCATCAGGTGAACCTTTCTACAGCAATTGCTTCGGAATATTTTGTCCTTAGTCAGTACTTTCTTTCCACTGGCATTAATGATAAATTCCACGTTCCCCCTTTAAACAATTTACTGCTTGCAAATTCTGAGTTATGAGTATATGATTGCAACTTCGCAGTGCTGTTCTAGATAGGAAAGCAGGCTAATGTTCCTGCTCCTAGCTTTCAGTGAAAATCTTATTTAGTCTCACGCTAAAGCCTGCTGGTCAACGTATTGAAATTATCTCGGTCATTATATATAATTGTTATCTTATCTTGCTGCAGATCTTGAATACCGACGAACATGAGGACATGCAACTGCTTGCCATAATATCTCGTCCACCAGTCAAAGTGTATGCAATTCCTCTTCTTCCATCCCCTTAGACTGAAAAGTTACCAATGAACAATGATGTTCTGCTTTTCATATCTTTCGTTTTTCTTGTTCAAAGAGAAGGTGACAAGCTAAAGTATTGGGCTGCTCTTTTATGATATTCCTTTTGGTTTCATATTTTAGAGGATGACATATTCTCCAACATGCTTTTGTATTTCTTTTCAGTCAGCTTCTTTTATCTAAAAAGAAAAACAAAAAAATTCAGTGACAAGTTTCTTATAAATGAATCTTGGAACTTATTTCCAACATTTATTCTGCTTTCCCATGATCCCAATTAGGTGGTATGTCCATTGTTTTCTTGGATAAAACGTGAGTGGCTTTGGGATTAATTCTCGTTTGGATCATACATAAAAAAAATAAGAAGCTCCTTTTTTTTTCTTCCCCATTTTTTTTCTTCTTTAGCTGTTTCACCATTTTATTGCTTCCAGGTTCATATATGAGGACTGGTTCATGCCCCATACTGCTGCAAAGTTGAAGTTCCCCATCTTTTGGGATGAGCAATGCCTCCAAGCACCGCCAAAAGACGAGCTGTGACACCAACTCATTCCTGTGCGTATTGCTAACATATCAACTGAAAAATAAAAGACTTCCACATATATAATCTATACCTGCTGATTGGTATGTGGTGGACAATTGATTTTGATGTTTTCCATTCTACTGCATGGTTTCCCAGACACGTAGCAAAAATTCAAGCTTATTTCTGTTGCATACGATATTGGAAATAGTAAGTTATCAGCTAAATGCAAAAGTGCCCCCAGCTAAATTAGGATATTAATTCTGCTCACCAGCCAGTTAAATGGCTACAAAGGGCAAGTTTTTTTATCCAAAGGCATGCACACACGTACATAGGTAGGATTAGGAAGGAAAACGATTGGTTGTGCATGATGAAGGTTTGCTAATATAGCAGATTAAATTTGGTAAAAAGATAATATGCCTGATTCCAGGCATCAATATAAATTGTACAAAACCATTCTTCCACCATAGCGAGCTCATCCTAATTCTCTTAAAGCGTATGAAAAAACTTAATCTCCAGGAATACTTTGGGTTTCAAATGACAAGTGTGACCCTTTCCTCTTTGTCATCAACATGCGTCGTTCAGCTTTCACTTTCTGCTACCAAAACATGGAGTATGATAGATATTATTTTTAGGATTAAAGGTAGTATGAATATGAATTCTCTCTTTATTATTATTTTCAATGTCTTTTCTTTCTGCCCGAGCCTTATGTTGAGTTCCTTTCAGCTGAATTATAAGTTTCTATTTGAAGGAATAGTTCAATCGAACATCTTAAAAGACCACAGTTATTCGTACCCTTCTTCAGTTTGCGATAAATTTATTAAAGGACATTAAAGGAAAAGTTTGTCAAACCAGACAAACACCACAGTAAAACAAGCAACTTGGGTGTAAATCAAACCTTTCCATACTTCTGACTTTCTGCTTGCAATTGTAAACTACGATCATTCTGACAATTACGAACTTCAGCCTGAAAATGACGAAAAAACATGTTAGTTGTAACATTGAGTTAATTATAAATTAGCCTAGTGTTTTTGGTGCCTTGACTGTCACAAAACAGCATGGAGACAAATAATCACAGATTGTGTGGTGGTGGACTTACACACAACATCGTTCTCCTAAAAAATACTGCACGTGTCGAGTTCATCCACGCAGTTCGTTGCCTCTAGCAATAAAAAATTTGAAGGGACACATATCAGGAAAGCAAGAAACAAAACAACCAGTCTAGTTTCTAATAATATAAACAGATAAATCAGATATTTACCTGCTTCACAATCACATTCCATTCCATCCAGATAAAATATTTTACGATTGAGAACAAAGAGATATGCATCGGCCAATTCATAGTGCAATAGAAAGAATCTTGGCCATGTGATCATAAGGTGGTAGACTGGAAGTCTTTCAGACATAAGAGAAGCTGCCACATGCAAAAAGTGTTAAATGGTTGAGCAATCCCCAAAATTCCTTTCCAGGGATATTGCTAAAACCATGAAAGGTCGTTTTGTTAGAGAAAAAGGTTATATGGTCCAATTCTCACTCCATGCCGTTTCATCATCCAAACTCAAGAAAAGCACAATCTGACATGACACTACGAGAGCAACGTCAAATAGAGATTACTGTGAGTGATTCTAAAGCCAAAGCACCCTCAAATTTAAGAGCAAGCTTTGACACAATCAAAACAGGCAGTCAATCAATGAGGAACTAAATTCCATTGTTTTTCAAACACAAACCACATGAAGCTGCTGAATAGATGCTTGGAATTGACCAAAATAGACATATCAGAGTAATTAACACTCAGTTCTCTTTCTTCTACCGGTCAATATGATAATCCAAACATGTGATTTTGATGCAAGGGTAGATAATTCTGTCATGTTTTCAACATGGTAGGTCCGAGCTAATCACCTGGCAAGGAGGAATGATTACATTGGGCAAAAAAAAAAAAAGCAAACAAGTGGCAATAAATTAAAAGAAGCATGTGGTAAAAAGAAGATGTATGTAGCTGGCTGCAATTAATTTACAACGCTTTTGAGTAACCTGGAAAAAATATTAATTTTTTTATTAGTGCAAATAAAACCAATAAGACTCATTAAAGGAAAAAGGAAAAAATTTCCAATTGTCAAATACCTCGACAACACGCCCCACTATGATATCTCCAATCTCTGGTTTGTACCTAACAATCGAATTTAATTTAATTTTAACACAAGCAATCAATGGACAAATAAGAAAAAAGCAATGATCATTATTATGATTACCTGGCGCGTCAAGTGCGCGCATAGACTAATTTGTTAACACGCTCCACCACTCCACGCAGCGTCGCCACCACTTCACCTTCGCGCTCAGAGGTGCCATGACCCCTGCAGTTTAATCATAATTAGATAGCATTCTAGCTGCTTAACTGAAAATGAAATAAGTAAGGGAACGCCTACTGGAGAATGGTGCCTTCGTAGCTGACGGGTACGGTATCGGCGACGGTGACAGAAGCATTGGAGTTGGCTTTCGAATACAAAGACTCCAGCTGCTGCACCGCTCTCTGTACCTTTATCTTCTGCGTTTGATTCAACGATACATCTATCCCTCTGATCCCTTCCTCTATAAAAACCCTCCGCTCCCTTCTTCAAGTTCAGTTTTAAGCGGACGTTTTTTTTTTTTCAAATTCTTTTAACCTTTCGTTGTAAAAGTAGTCCTTTCACGTTATCTAAATTTCAAAATAGTTACCAAATCAAAAGGTTATTTTATTTCGGTCTCGTAAAAGAAGATAGAGGGGCTGTGCTGTCTGCAGAGAGATTTAATTGCAATCGGCACCCAAATCAATCCGTAGATACAGTGAAGGAAATAACAACAAAGTTATCATGGAACTTCTCTAGATAGGTCAGTCATTCAAATCATCACATGGATTCAGATATTCTAAATTAGCGTCAAGGGAAAACAGAGACATGCCACCAGAGAGCAAAGATTCTGTCTGAAAAAGAAAAAAGATAAAATTTGAATAACTTTAGTTAATACAAAATTCTGCCCTCTACTAAAGCTAATTCACACTGCTCAAACTCGAAGCTCAGCTAACCCTAGAGCCCTACAGCATCGGCAACAAAGATATTTGTAGTGACCAATATTAGAACCTATTCTTACTGAGAAAAGGGGAAACGAATTAAAAAACGAACTCCTCTAGCAGCACTTGGAGCTTTTTTGTACAATAAGAGAAGCTCCTTCCTTCAGAGCGAGAGGTGACTGAGACAAGCTTGTATTCGATTCATGTTGATTAGGCCCCAAAGTTGCCTCAGGATAAGCAATTCAAGCCGTTTTCCCTTCAATACTGATACCTGTATCAGAAGCAGAACCTGCCACATGTGCTTCGACTGGAGAGGATAGTGCAAGGAGGCGTCCTCTTTGGGCACGGGGTGGAAGATGCTTCGCAGGTTTCCTAGATCCTACAGCCCAGGGCAAAAAAACCCCTGTCCCACCACCATTGGGCATTCTCTTGGGACTCAAGACCATAGGGCGCATTGGAGCAAGCATGACCACTGGAGAACGAAGATCTCCCCAGTTAGGCATTGAATTTGAATCCATTGGCTCATAGCCACTAAGAGCAGCTCCGTTTGGCATCGGATATGGGCTCGGGATGCTAGGTTGCCATAGGGTCATGGCACCGTTCATGGGACTAGTTGGTGGTGACTGGCCTTGAATGGATTCGGGACGCACTCTGAAGAAAGTGATGCTGACCCTTTTGTTTGAAGACGGGCACATGGCATGTCCAGCCATGTCAGCGCTATTTCCCCTCATCACTAAAAGAGATCTGCAACATTTCCAAAGTCATTTCATGATCCAAACTTGTCCATTGGTACGTACTGATGGCAATTGCTGACTTTCTAAGGAAGAAAATTTAGGTGAATATATTTCAAATAATGCAAGCCAACTTGTGTAGGATTGCATCTAGAGACTCAAATGCTTTCCAGTCTAACAACACTGTTGTCGAGAAATGAGCACACAACAGAAAATAAATAGCTGATAATGCAGAGGTCACAGATGGGACTTTATGAGATGCGTTGAGATTTGAGAGCATTTACATAACTTCAGCCTGTTAAGACTCTATAGAAATCCTCGTTAAAAGATAATGCCTCCTTCTCTCAATGAAGTCATTGTTACTAATAATACTTAGAAATGCCAATACCTTCTTAAGGTTCTAAGATTCGGATTAAAGGGCTTAATTTGAATGAATCAAAACAATTTCAGAAAAGGAAAGGCGTGTTATTTTGAACCAGCACTGTCTTTAATTAACAGAAATGACAATATATTTCCAGAAACCAGAAGCCTATAAACCACAATAGAGTTAGGCGAAGCCATGCGTTGTAGGTTAAGAAGAAGAAAAGCTCCTGCTTCATGATGTAGCTTCAATGCGAGGTTGTTCTTTCAAGAGATTTTTGGAGTAGATTTGCTTTATGAAGTTGCTTATGTTTTATCAGAAATGCAATTCCTGAATATCTATATTATGAACCCGAGGCTAATCACTCTCTAACTGACAAATGTCGATCATACAAGTTTCGAAGGCATACGTACCCTTTTTTAAGCAAGAGAGAGAGCGATCCTCTGTAATTCCCATCACTATCACTCCCAAGAATACGCCCAAAGGCCATCGTTGATTCTGAGAGGATAAGAGTAGAGATTGGTTGGTCTAGATGAGGTGGCTTCAGAAAAGGTTGTGAATATTCCTCCTGCATCGAAAAAGCATGTACATTTCGACTTCATTTCTCCCTGTAATGAGTTATCTCTATACAGAGAAAACGTGATGATTCAGAGCAAGATAGAATGCCTACCTCATCAAAGAAATGGATTATGCATCCATTAGGTTTTTTATATTCTGGTATTAGTTGCCACTGAACCAGATGATCGACAACACCTTGGAGAATCCCTGGAATTGGCTCTATGTTACCTATGAAATTTGAAACCACAATTATAAGTTGCTCCGACATAATTTTGCTGCACAATTAAGGGAAGTTATAGTATATCCTACTTGATGGGTTGTTACCCGCAGCTTCCTCTCTTATATGTCCGAAAATTGGAACTCCAAGCTGAATCAGCTCCCTCTTGTTTCCCTTCACCTGCTTGTTGAATAAAATAAAAGTCTCTCCTGCATCCAGAAGTTAAGAAGATTCACTTTGTAGTTGACAACTGTTGGTTGCTAGCAAAGACAAGCTTTTCCATATTCGAACTGCATATTTAACTAGCTTTAACATGTGCTTTTAATTAAGAGAGCTAGTTATCCTATTCCGGCGACTAGATCAAAGATGAAATGGCTGATAACTCACGGTAATTAAATGTGTAAAAGAATTTTTGCGAAAATTCAAAATCCCAGCATATGTCCTTACTCCTTAGGGCACATTTTATTACTATAAAACTGAACGCAGCTACAATTATAGAAGTAGCATGTAGAGAGAGGTCACCTGAGAGTTCACCATTCTGGCCAGCAACCCGGAGTTCATTGACGAAATCAGTCAACTTAGACAGCTCAGGATCAGTGAATACATCCTCATATAACTTCAAACCCTTCACAACATTCACCTGCCAGGTGTAATATCTCTCAATCAATAACAGCCGGCTGCATTTTTATTTTTGTAAATTCCAGCTTCTCTAAGGAAACAATTTTTTTTTTTTTTTCTAAATTTTGAAAAAGAGAACTCGCCGTGTGCCCTTTGACATGCTCCTTGGCTGTGAATCCTTTTGTCAACTTGATTTGAGTAGGACGTGCACTGCAGTCTTCATGATTGGCACATATGTCATCATTATTCTCACTAGCAGGCTGCACTTCTTGAGATCCTGCGTAATTCCCAATCCAAGAACGGGATTTTAAAATGGACTTTACCTCACAAATTATTTTATTGCATTAAATATTTAATAAACCCTAATGTTAGTCAACTAAGAAACGTCATCACTTTTTTCCTCTTTAAGGCCAGCATCAAAATTAAATTAGTGAAGGTTGAATTTGGTTCCACGTTCGAAAAATTCCATCCTCCATTTGACTGACAAGTCTTGTGGTGCCAGGTAGGTCATTGGTGGATATAATCAATCAATTTGTGAGAGTGATTTGAGAATCCAACTTGGGAACCAAAATTCGGAAATCTTGATACATTTTTCCCTATTTCAAAATAAAACGTCAAAACACCGGAATATTCATTGCACGAGATGATTCTGCAAGTCCACCCACGCAATTGGGTAACAGAACGCAGATGTACGGACCCACGCCATCTAAAAAATAGTTTCAAAAACAATTAATAGCTATTTCCCCCTCTCTTCCTTGCATAAACGAAGAGCAGTAACTTTTTCTACCTCTAAATGCATTTTGTACTTGTTTTACGTAATAACCCAAATAGACTTAGAATTACTTGTGCCACGGCTAGACATCATGCATTTATTTATTTATATATAATATACCTTCAAACAAAGTTTATAAACCATCTATTAATAGGTACACCACTTTTTTATTAAGTAACCGATTTCACATTCCTCCCTTAAAGACTTCAGACCAAGTGGATTTTTATGGGGTATCCCTTTTTCCTTCCCTGACGATAGGTGGACAAACTTTCTTGTTTTAGTCACAAAGCTGTCACTCTCCAAAATATGCTCACCCATACCAAACAACCAAACAAAGCTGCCACTAAAAAGGCCAAGTAAATAAATAAAATAAAAGTGCCGCACTATAGGAGATTCGAATCTCCAAACAGATTATCCGGCTACGCTACCCAAACCCGATGCTAATTTTTCCTTGGCAGGCCCACCCAATGAGCTCGGATTTGACCCGGCAACTCCGACTAGTCCCACCGGGTCTATTCATCAAATACAGTAACAACTAACAAACTTCCCCCAAAATTTTGTCAAAGAAAACTCTAACCACCCAACACTAATAGCAGGTTAAAGCTAACAAATGTCAGCCTCGCGCGCACGCATGACGTCAACTAAAAAAGATCTGACGGTCGCCATCAGACGCCGCCTGCAATAAAATCATTGCACGCATCTCCAGGTAAGGCAGTTTCATCAAGCGTAAGGGTATTCGCTACTCCCAAAACTAACTGTAACACCGGGTGCAGACAAGCCTTTCCCCCTCATTGGAATACTCAATTCAAACAACACCCTCCCTCCCCCACCTAAACCTCGAGAGAATATCAATCACGACATGATAATATATCAATTGCTTATTTTTGCTTTACCACCGGTACTTTAAATCAAACATTTTAGGCATGGCCAAAAATCGAAACGGAATATTGTTAAAATTCAAAGTCAGAGGAAATTGCAAAACAGCGAAGTGGGTGGGTTTGAATCTCGGATCTGATGCAGAAAAACATGGTTTTTTTTTTTATTCCTGAGAAGACGGAGGAAAACAAAAACAAAATACAAAAAGTTCATTTTTTTGCTTCAAGAATAATTCTAAAATAATAGTATAAATTTTTTTCTTGACCATCACTTTCCTCCTTTTTTTTTTTTTTACGATTTTAAAAAACAAAACAAAAAACAAAATCATATTTATTTATATTGAACTTGTTTTGTTTTTCTTTTGGCCAGTTCTCCTACCAACCAAAACAAGCTGGCTAATTTCAATTGTGAACTATTTTTAACTGGTAATTAAAAAGGAAAATAAGGAATAAATAAAAATGAATTTGAGCTAGCGCATCATTGACGATAAAATAAAATCAAAAATCAAAAATAAAACCAGCAAAGATTGTTTATTTATTTAAACAAACAGAAAATATATAAGAATCCGTTTTTCTGTCAAACTCCAATTTCATCAGCTGATTCTCCGTCACATTTGCCGATAAGAATTACCAAATCGATAAATTAAAAAAAAAAAAAGATTAACAAGAAAAGGAAATTCGTTTTGTTGAATATATGATAAAGAAGAAAAAACAAAAAAGTAAATTTTGAAGATGAAAAGATTAGATTACACTTACCTGAATCAGTAATATCACTATCAGGTGAATCCTCCTCCTCCTCTTCTTCAGCAACATGGCCATTTTCCACGCTGATTTTTACTTTCTCATCGCTGACTTCGTCAGTCCTGTTTCCGGCAGATTCTGATTCCTGTTTGGTCTCAGCCACTCGCTTTAGCTCCAAAGACACTTCAGCAATGGAGTGGTACTTCTGCATCTGAAGCACAGGGATCCAGTTAAGCCTCCTCCCATGAATCGCCGCGAACACCGCTTCGTACTCGGATCCTGCACCCAGCTGTGCCAGGTGGCTACACAGCGCATCGATTATGGCGTTAGCCGCTGCAAATTCCCCGCGAAACCAGGCTAGAATAGCGTCCTTAGCAATCGCGTCTGCCATCATCATCGGCACCGGCACCACTGGTGGAGTACCTTGATGATCCGTCGGCGATACTGGTCCTGCCGCCATCAGCTCCACGGATATTTTTTCACTAAATAGTAAAGCGACAAACGTTTGCTTTTAAATCTCCCAACTATCAGGTTTTATGAAGAGTCCGCCGGCCGAAATTTCGGTGATAGTGAGTATATATTGGGTTGACAACAGAAAAAAATACAGAGAGAAAGAGAAGGGCAGGTGAAAGCGAGCGCTAGTGTCACGCATGTAATGGTAGGCTTTTGGGGGCGGACCTGTGACATTTTTATATTACCAAGGGAGGCTCATGCCATCTCCGTACTTGTGGGGCAGCTTTTGTTCGACGTGGCAGCATTACAGTGAACGTTACTAGTAGTTTTAATTTTTGAGTTGAAAGTATTTTTTTTTTTTAGCTAATACCTTACCATATACAGAGTATCTCTGAATAATAAAACAAATTCTCAATATATCTGAATTATTTGAACTGATTTGTAATATATATTTATTACCAAGTTTTTTTAATAATTTGTGAGAAATTAATTTTTATATTGATAGATATAAATAGATTATTTATTTTAAAAAATAAAAATAATTTTATCAAACCACATACCATGTACAAATTATATATTTAATTTAATTAAAAAATCTAATTAAAAAGATATATTAAAAATAACTTAAATAAAAATAGCCTATTTGAGTATTTTTTTAATTTAAAAATAGGTTAGAGATTTACGTATCATACAAGGACAAGTAAATGCATTAATTCATTTCTTTTTTCTTTTTTCTTTTTTGACAGGTTGGTGGAATTAAAATTACTGAAAATAGTTTTTGTTGCAACAAAATTACTGCTATACCCTGTATCACTAGTCTTAGTTACAGGGGTAGTCAGATTCGTCCAAGTGAATTGTGATTTACTAATCATGACACGTGAGGATTTTTGTGTTTCTTAAATTGGCGAATATTTCTATGTAAGGTTTTGAAAAGAAAAAGAAAAACAAGGTTTATGGTAACTTCATTAATTATGGTGTAAGATTCGTTTTTTATTTCTGTGGATGATTTGTAATTACCTAAATGAAACTCAAGATTTGAATTTTGTTTGGAAAAATCTTATCTCGATGTCTACGTGATGTATTTTACTGTTTTAGGTGTTTTTTTTTCTTTTTGTTTAATATATGGCTTGAAAATTTTTTATCCATATCTAAATGCAAGTAATCAATGACTTTGTTAATTAGATAACAATTTACTATAGGATGTGAATTGCAATTTCTGATTACCTAATAAAGGAAAAACGGACAATATTAATCAAATCTTATTATTATGATAGTAATTTTGAAATTAAGTATACTAGTTTGTAACATTTCTTATTTTAGAAACGATTCAACATACTTGTTATAACCAACAAAAACTATATTTAAAAAAAAGTTATGATTGTCCTCGGATAATAAATACCTCTTATTTCTTTTTATCGAATGAATAATTATTATCGATGGTTGATAATAAATTTAACAAGATATATCATAATTAAATTATTTATAAACGAACAACAACAAACGAAAAAAACTAATTTCCAATTTATGGAAAGATAACTAATCATTTGCATCTCCTGACAATTGGCTTTGAATCCCACAAATTTTTAGCAAGTAATTTATTTTTATTATGTTTAATTTAAACTAACTCGTTCAATAACTAATGGACATGTAGATGAAAATTTTAGAACGTTATTGATCAATACTTTCGACATTAATTAATACTTTATTTTTTATATCTGGTTTGCTTTTAAAATTAAATCGATTTTTTTTATTGACATCGTGATGCAGATAAAAATTATATCTCTTAAAAGCACACACAAAAAGTTATTTATTATTAAAGTACGAGCAGACCGTGTTACAATTAAATTTGTTTGTTCTCGCGGACAAGTCCTATCTTTATGTCAACATTTTCCACGGGTGGCGTGAAGAATTTTTCTCCATTCCTAAATGCAAGCAATTTACTGACCTTGTTAATTCAATTAAGAATTTACCAGAGGATTTGAATTGTGACGTAATAAAAGAAAATGGACAACGTCCATAAAATTCTATAATTGTTTTTATGAGACTATTATATATTTGATTTATGCATTTTTTATTTTTTATTCGAGTATTCTAAGTTTTATTTTGGTTGTTTGGACTTGCTAATTTTTAAAATATTTCTAATCGAGTGATTTTGTTATGTCTTGTGAAATACATGTCAATGTAGCCGTTAAATTGGCACGTTAACATATATACTAACATTTATGCCATATGTGCATAAATTTTCACTTTATCTCTAATCGAATATCTATAGTTTTATTTTTAACGTATATACTTTTATTTATTTTTTTATATGAGCATATGCACTTTCAAAATTTATTGATGAGTGCTATCAGTTTTAAAATCTAACGAACATGCACTTCACAAATTTATGTATACATATTTTAACCAAGTTACCTAAAATTAAAAATTAAAAAATAATTAAAATTTTGTTCAAATTAAAATAATATAATCATAAAAAAGTCAAAAAATTATTTTTGTGTTCACTATAATCAACTAGGTAAAAAAAAGCAACAAAATGACTTAAAAGATGTAGGATTTTGATGAAATATGGCATACAAATTTATGCCTGTTTCATTAAAGATTTTATTGAAAAATTAGAATACATATAAAATTGGATAAAAAAAAATAACATTGTTGGATGACGAATTTGCAAATTTTAACCATTAAAAATTTCCGACGGATTTGTTTGATTTACGAGAAAGTGGAGAAAATTATGCAATATGATTATTGTTTTTTGACAAGCTAACCTTTATTCTTATTCTATTTTAAATTGAATATATTGTTTATTATTGTTTGTTGTTTTAGTTTTTAATTTTACTTAACAAAGTAAAAAATATGACTTAAATAAGACTGTAAAGTGGATATTCATTAGATTTTAAAATTAATAACTTTCATGGATAAATTTTTGAAAATACAAACACTGAAATTCAAAAATTAAAAGTGCATGCACTCAAATAAAAATTTTAAAAAAATACAAATACTCAGATAAAAATAAAGTAAAATATTTATGCTCACATGGCCAACATGTCAGTATTTATTTTACATGATCTAATAGAAACATTTAATTGGATAACATTTAAGAATTCACACACTCGAAAAAAAAAAAGTTGGAGCACTCAAATAGAGAAAATAAAAACGTTTACACACCAAATACATAATAGTGTTTTTCTTTTACTATAGAAAATTTACAGTCTTCTAGAATCCAAACCGTAGGAAGGTAAAGTGACAATGACCGAAAAGAACAAAAAGGCCAAATTGATTTGTTAATTAATAAAATATATGAACATAAATCAAATTATGTTTTGCATACTCGCAAATTATAACAATTTTGAAAAATACGAATATTAATTTATATTATTTCTTATTTGAGGATTGATCATCATACTTTAGAAAATACTAGATTTTTTATCCGCGTTACAGCTGCGGGTTAGATAAAATATATAAAATCATTTAGAAATATTATTTTAGTTTAATAATCTATTTTAAGATAAAAAATAATTATAATTTTTTAATAAAAAATTTTATATTTAATTATTTCTTATTTGTGTTTTTAGATTTTAGAAATAAATAATAAAGGAAATAAATTATTGATTTCTTTAAAATTTTAACACCTAATTAATTATTGATTCTTTTAAAATTTTAACATCCAATATTATTAAAAAAACGAAAATTGAAAACAAATTCAATGTTTAGAAAAAACAAAATGGTGAGGGGGGGGGGGGGCAAGTTGTTACAATTCATGTTAACAATAAATTGACGAAAATATATAAAAAAAAAATCAATGTTTAGAAAAAAAATGAGAAGCAAGCCGTTTACTTGTTCAAATGAATAATAAACTGGAAAAAAAAGGGAGGGAAAGAAGGCCAAAGAGTGCTTCTAAAAAAAAAAACCAAAGCATTCTAGCAATGAACGAGTGATTAACACTTGGTCATTGCTACGATGAAAAATCGTTTTACTTTAGTTTATAGTGTAATATATTAGTTATTTTTATGGAATAATTGTTGTTGATGGTGCACGAGTAATTTTATAATTATGAATTGCTCATCAAATCATTTATAAACGAATAACAACAAATAGAAAAAATAACTTTAAGTTTATTGAAAATAATTAATCATTTGCATCTCTTAACAACTAACTTCAAATCTCATGAATTTATGGCAATCAATTTGTTTTATCTATGTTTATTTTAAACAATACCTATGAAACACGTGAATGAAAATATTAAAACATCATCTATCATTATATTTGACATTAACTAAAAATCTATCTTAAATACTGTTGAAGAACCGATCTGGTAAATCGAGGACAAATAAAATTTGCAATACAATCTAAATCAAGGATTATGTTTTAAATTTCTTTCTATAATTATAAATAATTCATGCAAAGAAGCCAAGTCCATTTTTGTCATTAGACACAACAAGGCAGGCGACAGGCGTAGATGCCATTCCACGTGGGACCTCAAGAAACATCATCAATGGAGGTTCGTTTACGTGGAGGGCTCCATTCCTCCTCTATTGTTGGCTTATAGACGAGTTAGGGAAGGTGTATGAAGGGTCCCACAAAAACAATACTAGCGGACGGGTGCGTGCGAGCTTTCGTTGGGACTGTTCTATTCTGTTGGGGCCGCTTTTAGGGCATTTACGCACTAGAGGACCATATCTTTACCACCACCAATAAAAGACAACCCCAGGCCTAAAAGGACGTTGTTTAAGCCGCCTAGAAGCCATCCCATTCCTCTCTCCATCGGCTGCGTTCTTAGGAAAGATAGTAAAATCTTTGTTGCTCTATAGATAGCCAAGTACTCAACTTTTCCATCAAAAAAAGGTGGGGTTTAAAGATGTTTGCTGTCTTATTCCATGGTTTTGCGAAAAAGTGAAGCAGGTTGTATATTAATCTTACGTTATTAATCACTCCCACTTTTGTTTTCTTCTCCTACATTGTATGGCATTTTATATATATATATATATATATATATATAAATACAATGTTAATAACAGCTAGATGCTAGTTCATCTGCTATAAAAATGCACGGGTCTTTCTTTTGGATTTTAATGGATTTGTTGTTTTCATGCTTTTTTTTTTTTTTGAATTTTAAGGAAACTACCTATATTTGTTTTTATATTAGAAAATAATATAAAATCATTTCTAAAAACTCATCTAAATTTTAAAAATTTCTAAATTGATATAGTTTTTTTATGTAATAACAATTTTTTTTTATTTAATTAAATACAAAATAGTGTGAATCTATATAAGTTTCGAGTAGAAAAAAACTTTCACTTAAAGAAATATATTAAAAAGTAATATAAAATTATTTTTAGAATCTCACCTAATAAATTAAAATTTTGAATTCAAATAGTTATTTAATATATACATTTATAAAAAATTATTTTTTATTGTTTATTTTGAAATCTAAATACTAAATATATGTAAGAATAAAGTTATTTACCAACCACCACGTTATACTTTAAAAAAATAAATACATAGATATTTCATTAATTTATTAAATAAATTAAGTTTATTTAAGAAGATAATTAAATTTAGAGATAGTGATTTTTTTTTATGAAACCTGTATGTGTTTTATTATAATTTACAATGTCTTAAAACCACTGCTCTCTCTCTCTCTCTCTTTTCCTATTTCGGTTATGGATGCATCACACCAAAATTAGAAATGACGTTTGATTGCAAGTTTCATAATTATAATTCAAAAATTACAGCAACAATAATAATGCTAGCTCGCAATTTCTAATGATTTTCAAAGTGACAAAAATATTTTATATAATTAAATTTATCAAAATTAATTTTATAGTTTTTTATTTATTTCAGTCTATTGACTTTTATATATTTCTTATAATTTATTTATTTTTAAATATTTTTTATTTATGTTGCACATTTTAAACTCACTAAGTATGGTTAATGATATATATATATATATATATTTTTTTTTGAAATAATTAATTTTATTAAAAATTAACAATGCATCTACACACATAACACTAACCATTTGTTATTAATTTTTTAATATTCTAAAATTAATTTATTTGAAATAAAATAATTAAAAAATATTTTAGGAGAACTATCCAATGATTCAAGTACAACTTTTCATACCAATATTATTGATTATTTGGAAATAAATATATATAAATCAAACGTACATATTTAAAAAAATTAACAATATTTTCATCACAATTAAATAATAATGAAAAAATCTGTTTGTTAATATTTATAAAAGTTTTTGTACTAATTGTTGTTTTATTTTTTTTAATGTAATCTTATGAAAAAATATTATGATTTTTTTTAAAATTTTGAAATAAATATTATATTCAGATTATTGTAAATTCTTATTTAAAAATCAATACATAAAAAACAATAAAACGTGTTTTTTAACTATAAAATTTATAAAAAAAACATAAAAAATAAAAAATAATAAAATTAATTTTTTAATCTTTAATTCAATATATAAAAACATACTTTTAATAAAATGCAACATAATATCAAATTAATTTTTAAAAATAATTTTATATATTTTATTTAATCGTATAGTATAACGCATACTGGTAATAAAAAAAGCACCACGGCATATGTTTTTTAAGAACGGCATTAATGATCCTTCTGGGTTTGAACTTTAAAGTTTCCTCCCTTCTTCTTCGTGTATGTGCACAAAAGTAAAAGAAAAAGAAAAATTTCTCGTGTTAAAAAAGATAGGGAAGGCATCAGGTCTCCGTGAGAGGCTAGAGAGTCCTAGCTCCCTTGGATTTACTTTAGCTTTGTTAGATTCCGAGTTAGCTGACAACCAGAATCAAAATAAAAAAGGGAGAGAGTGTGTGTGTGCGCGCGCGCGCAAATTAACGGATTAATCGTGGGGCTAAATTTGCAAGCAAGCAAGCCAAGCTGACCTTAACGAAGAGGAACTAAGACAGAAGAAAGATTCGGTTACCATTTTAAGGCAAAAAAGCGAAGGATGCAAGCACATGAGAGGCCCATGTTAAAAGTGCCCCTTAAAAGAGCGCCAAATGGATGGAGACCATCCCATGACTCTCATCCACATAACATTCGCAAAGTCAATTGCACTTCAAACCTTTTTTTTTTTTTTGGTCGTTCTTATTTAACATTCCCAATCACAACTCTACGTGTACCCACAAACATCAAGCATCAAGTCCGTATCAAATTCAAACACTACTGCTCCTCCATAAACATAGAGCTACTTCCTCTACCTCCTCCTGCATGGCAATCATTCCTCCTATCCCCTCTATTATTGATTAATCAGAGGTACTTATTTCTCTCTCATTTAATGCAAACATCTCGCCTAATTACACAAAGCTATAGTTCTTTTTGTTCACTGCCCTTCCCAATTCCAAAATTTTACTCTAAATTAGTTAATTTGAGTTTTATATGGCGAGAAAGAGACTTGAGAGATGAATATATAACTTTTTTTAAACGTCTCTCTCTCATACATCTTCGAGTGCTTTCGATACCTTCTTATAAATTTACAAATCAACATGGTCATAGATCAATCATGGACAGCAATGGAGTTCAGCGATGGCTGCAGACTGTGGCCCCCCAGCGTTTTAAAAAGTCTTTCAAATTCTATATTTTATTTCAAAAAAAAAATAATACTGAGTTTATATACATGGTCACTCTAAAAATTAATTAATATGGTATTTGATTAGTTCCGAATATGCAATTGTAAATCTATTTTTCATGGTTACCGAATGATTTTTTAATCCAATTATATTTTTAATTCTACAGTGGTTAAGAATTTTTTTTTTCTTTTGAGGTTCCAACCCTTGGACCATCACTCATAAAAATATATATATATATATTAATTGCTCAAAATGCATTACGTCACTACCAAGGATGAGTCCTTAAAAATATTTAAAAATAAAATATAATTTCGATTGACTCATAAATTGATTAAAAAATCTCTTATCATCAAATAAAATAAATTATACATATATTTTAAAAAAAATCTAAGTATAATCTTTATGGATGTAGTGATTGAAAGGTTGAGTTAAAGTTTAGTAGATTAAGGTTCAACTTTTTCCATCCATAACTATATAAATAGTTATATAGAAAGAGTGTTATATCTCTCTCTATGGGTTAGTTTCACGGATCTTATTTCAATTAATTTTCCTGTTGAATTTAGTTATTCATGTTCCAAAACCAAAAACAACACTCTCATTTTAGTAGTAAATTATGAATTAGTCTTTCTAAAATTTTGCAAAATGAATTAAATAGCTTTTTTAATTAATTAATTAATCTGCTTGATTAGTGTTAATTATGATTACTTTAATATTATTTATTTTTAAAAAAATGTCTTATTTTCTCACAAATCCTTCCATTTTTTTCTATTTCTTAAAAAAAAAAATTTGAAAAACAATAAAAATAGTTTAAGTTACCATAGACTTTAAAATATAGATATTAATTAATTAGTTTTTGAAACTAAAGATATTATTTAATTCATTTTGAAAAACTAAAGGGAATAATTTATAATTTACTATTTTTTTTACTATTAATTATTGTCCCTTTTTGCAGGCCACGATTAGGGATTCCATTTCAATTAAATTCATGTCGACTAGGTAACAAGCGTGTCCAAGAAGGAAAAAGAAAAAGGAAAAAAAACCTCTCGTTCCAGCTACTGATTATGTACCACCCATTTAGGAATATTTAGAACGTCTTTCCCTTACCATATACGGAAAGCATTATTCTAAATGTTTCAATATGCTACGTGGGCTCAGCGTTTAACGCGAGAGAAATAACGGATTGTTTCGTGATTTTTAAAGGGTATTTCATAATTAAATCAATGAATTTGTACAAGATTATGTACTTCTTTGAGGGAGGGATCAGCAAGAATATATTTGAAAGAGTAGTGTTGGGCAACCAGAATCAACTGGTGGATAAAAATTAAAAAGTAATTAGTAAGTATTTGAATGGATCATGTTCGTGTGAATGATGCATTTTTAATATTTGTTTTTGTAGGGGGAAAAAATCAATCTCAATCGAATCACAAATTATTTCGAAAATACTTTTATTTTCTTAAAAAAATAAGAAAGTAATATGCTAATAAATACATACATGTACATAGTGATGTATTTCCTTTGTTTCAAAAAACTTGTTTTTTATTTATTTATTTATGTTTGTCTCGAAATATTTATAATATAAAATTAAATAAAATTAATTTTTTTAAATAAAAAATATTGTTAAAAGAGACTGTCACTTAAAGACGGAAGTAACATCCCTTTTAAGGACTTGAAAATGCATGATTAAACATTTTTGCCAGGGGATGAATTGGGAGTTGGGACATACGCAGGATGGGGTTGGTGGTTATTACATTTATTTTGTTTCTTTGTATTTTAGCACCTGGTTAGCGTGAAAGTTAGGCTTTGTGGATAGAAAAAGCAAAGTAATGGTTGTTGGTTAATTTAAATAAAAATAGTTCGCTTTATGAATGCCTTTACTGTAATGATTCGATACTGCTAAGGCATGGAGCTTTACGGCTCAGTGAGGGCTGACCCTTTTTTGCGTAATCATGCTCTTAATATTGTTTTTTTTAAAACAATTCAACCAGACACAAGTCTTCAAATAGCTGGGACAAGTTTCGTACAACGTTTCACACACACACACATATATATAATGTAATTGAATTATATATGTATATATTCCGTTTTAGTTGCGACTTAAAATTAATGAATCTGGTAAGGAAATGTTTGAGATTTGTAGGAGAAATGAATTTGAGATGCACATTCTTGTATTATGTGGATAAATTTTAAAATACTACATGAGTAATTACTATATATTTACATATAATAATTATTTATAAGTTTATTTTTAAAGAGAGAAAGATAAAAAAAACAAATCATATCTGAATAACCTATTAAAAATAGTAAAATATTTTCATTTCGATTCAAATTTTCTTTTTCAATTTTTTTTTCTCTTTGTATCTATTTTCTTTTTATGGAGTGAGTATTAATTCATAAGCAATATAAAAATTTTGTGTCTAAGATTAGGCATATTAAACGCATCTTATATATAGGGATAAAGTGTGCTTTTTCACCCTTTCATTTTAGTCTCCATAGTTCATGACAAACTATTTTAGTCCCTAATTTATTTCTGTTTACAAATAGGCCTTCACTTGTAAGTTATTAATCCTTTAGTACATTTTACAATTAAGTCCCTGCGTGTCAATAAATTTTAATTTCAATAATAATGGCTTTTTTTTTTTTGATTTTTCAAATAATGTAATTTTTCGTTATATAACTTTTTTTTAATGTCCATCATGACCAAAAACATTATAAATTATTACAATAAATAATTATTCTTTATCTTATAGCCTTAAAAAAACAAATCCAAAAATAAAATGTAATGAATCACTGTATTGCATGAAGCATGTGGCTAAAGTACACATTATGATGAAATGAGTTTCATAACTAGGCTCGCATTGGGTTTGGGAGTTTTTTTTTTTTTTTTTGTCATAAAATGAGAGATAGATGAATTATTCTGAACCCTTGGCAGGGCTCATTGTGCTTACAATACCTATAAATATACGGAGTAGCTCCTCTTATATTTATGCCTCGAGTGCTTAAGCAAACGATTTTGAATTTGAATCTTTATATATAAAAAAAATTATTTAAATAATTATTCTCGTTTTGTGTACGAAACAAAACAATGAGGGATCGATCTGAATCTTTAGGACTAGGATACCTTGAAAAAAAAAAAAAAAGGGTCATAAAACATTGAGTTGTCACCACCTAAAGACTACAACACAAAAACTCAAAACCAAACTTTTTAACAAAATAAGCGTGATGTTTTACTGCTGGACCAACTCTTTATTAGCAATATCGTATTAGCTTGTTACTTTAACGAAGAGTTTTCACTCTTTGAGAATGCAATCACAATACTCCATTCATTAGTGTTACTTAACCAACTAAACTAAATGCTTTTTGTAGCCATCATCAAACTGGTTTTCATTAGTCCACAAAAAAAGAAAGAAAGAAAAAAAAAATCCATTACCTACCAGTCAAATAGTCGATCATGCTCTTCCAGCAACATAAAGCTGTAAAACGAACATCAGCATACACGCCGCAAGAGAAAATCCATGAGAAACCATATTCTAAATGCAAATTTAAAACATGTGAAGTAAGCCTAAAGTTGAAACAGAGTAAGTCAAAATGCATGCAGGAGAAATACACCCAAATAATCTAAATAAGCTACAAGAATAGAAAATTCTGTTGATAATGACACGATGCTGCTGCTGTTCTCCTTACTAAGATGTTGGAGCGTGCATGCAATGATCTTAATAAATTGCATTAATTTAATCACATACAAAACTGCCCACATGGTCTAATAATTATTTGACATAACTTCGTTTCAAACAAAGTTAACAAGGGGCAGCATGCCACTGCATTGCTGTCCTTTGGAGGAGCTTGACCTTTGCCAGATAGCAGTAAAAAATTAGGAAGAAAAAAGTTGTGACTTTTAGTTTTGCTGCAACTGCAACTGTTACTTATGATTGTGAAGAAGTATTTGGTAATATTTTCATGTTATAATATATATATATATATATAAAATCATTTTATAACCTGTAACTTTTAGCTTTCAAAACAGCTTTAAGAAGTTTAGGGAACATTTTTTTCTTTGGATTTTGGAGAAAAACCACAAAAATAAAAATGTTTTGGTCTGTCAAACAGGCTTGTCTAGAATATATACAATTTAAGCTTTGAAGTTATAGTACTGTCCTGGTCGTGTAACATGTGATGTTCTCGAGCTTGGAACATGACAAAATGGCATTACGACCAATCATACCTGAAAGAATGAGAACTTTGCGTTGACGGTGTGCCATGCCCTTTGAGGGGGTGGGAGCCGTCTTTTGGACCCGCGTATGTAGTAGCTATTTTAAGTTTTAAGAGATGACGACAGATGGATCCAAAATTAAAACAGCCAAAAATAGATAACAACACTCCATGTTTTAGTATAATCTACCATTTCTAAAAATAGATAAAAAATGCTAAAACTACAATCAATTCATAAATTCTTAAAGCTTTCACAAAAGCCAGACTAGACAATAAACTAACTGGTTTGGGCCGTCTAGCTACGTATGCTTTTTACAGCTTGGCCCGCAGTAGTACTGGGACCAACCCAGGTCCAATTGAAGCAAGCCCAACTGATAACCCAGTCAGAGGCAATAACGGAAGTGGCAGAAATGAAACGATTCAGATATGGAGAGAATCAAGGGAGATCTAAAAAATCACAGGAAACCACTCTCTTCTCTAGAAAAGCACATGATCACAAGAATAATGAGAGAAAGCGTTGAAGATTGAAAGTACTTTCTTTTACATTATTATTCTGCTTATATCTAGTAGACGTTGACACGATCAGTGTCAGTTTTTCCTCCATAGACCTCCTGGGACTTCTATCTATTGTCTTTGTCTGTGCCCATTCGACATTGTTTTAAAGTTTTACCAAATTTTGGCACCATCAAAGTGGAAATGGAAGCCGGGATAGCTATTTTTATGCAAAGTAGTTATTCTGTTTTATTTTATTTTTTAAAATTTTAATCTTCTTTGTTTCGGACAAAAATGCTACATAATACGACAAAAACGTGGGTTTCTTTCGATGCTACACTAAAATAAAATAACAAAAGAGGCACAAAGATTTAGTTTAACAATTGGAAAAAAAAAGAACATATGCAACAACATAGACTTTAGACAGTCTATTTAATAAAAAACCTTCATATCATATATTAGCAAGGAGATTAGGATATGCCCCATGCTGGTGATCCTCTTGCACAAAGAATACTTATACTTGAATTGGGAACTTGAGATGCAATGCAACACTTCAGAAGAAAATAAAAAAATGGCACAAATAGAAATAGATGCTTAAATATGCAAACCTCCACAAGATCTTGATTTATTCATCCAACTATACTTCTAAACGAAAGTCAAGTTGCCCCAAGTTTCCCTCTTGATCTTCACTTAAAAGTGTACTTAATACTTTCGACCACCAATACTTGATGTAGTTCTAAGCTTAACCTTGGCGCGATTAATGTAATCCGTGAACTTATCTTTTCCTGAGCCAGCATGCGCATGTTGTTTTTCATGCCCAGCATTTGACACAGTCCTAATCTTAATCTTTGCACGATTGATGTAGTCAGTGAATCGATCTTCAATGTGCATCCCTGGTTTATGATTACCTTCTTCCAGCTTGATATGTTGAGGTGATTCAAACTTGGGATTATTGGCCTTGTTTCCTGGGATAGGACTTTGTACGACAGCCATGCTTGATGTTTTAGCTTCAGGTTCAATCCTGGAAGCAACTTGGGTGTTCTTTGGAATGGAAGGAAGTGGAGCGGCTGACTTGGATTTCCCATTTGCTGGAATACTCTGGCTTGAATAATCGAAGTTGACAGGAACCATTACCGTTGCTGCTCCATTTCTAGGTGTGGCATGGCTTTTGGCATCTTTGCGATGTTTTTTGGGAGAATATGTTTGGGATTGGATATCAATGACTGTTTTAGAAAGGGGTGGTGGTGGTGAAGAATTTGGAGCAGGTCTAGCAGACCTAGGATCTCGTGGGCGACTTGAGATGCGGCGAATTGCTTGGAAAGCTGGAGAGACAGTAACTGCTTTGTAGATTTTTTCACACACAACCTTAGGGCAGCTGTTGCTGTTGCTGTTCCCTTCCATGGTTTTAGTGAAAGATAACAAATTAAGAATAAGGTTTATGTTCACAGATAGAATTAAAATGTCTTGAGGCAACTGCAGTTTACTAAGGCTGAAGCGTTGGATTTTATAGTAGCATAAATTGGAATCTGGAGGAGAAATTGAGGGCCTGAAGCACTTTAATTTGGTCTGCAAATAATATTATTTAGAGCCTGTTCTTGTGATCCTCGTGTGAAAATCAGTTGTGTTTATAAGAAATTTTGAGGCCAGAGATTCCAATCAATGACGAAGAGAGAGAACTTTTTAAAATTTTCAAAATGATGTGATGGCGAGGGATCATATTCCCCTCTTTTTTTTTCTCATGTTTTTTTCTGTATAAAGTTAGAATCTGACTGGCACTGCTTATAAGTCTGGAGATTTGAGACTTTCTAGCTGTTCCACAAATTCGGATAATGATAGTGTAGTTTGAAGACTCCACATAAGCAACAAGTGAGGCATCAGATTCGGCTTGATGTCACTTTGCTTAACTTCGCTTGCAAGTTCAGGATTGCTGCAAAGGCGATGCTGTGAGCACCAGTACAATGTTTTCATCGTTCAATGGCAAATAGATTTGAATTCAGTGGATCTTTTATTATAATTTTATTCAAATCTAATGATCTAAATGGTCATAAACATTATGCCAATACTTGGCCTCAACGTTCTAGACTTTTTAACCCATAATTTTTAATCAGGTGCAACTTTTCAAGTCGGTTTACGTTATATTAATTTTGTATTAATATTTGTCGCCATAACAATTAATAAATTAATATATTGATTGTCTTTTTGACACATCTGTATGGATTAATAAGTTGTTTATTAATTATTGTGTCAATATATCTGTTAACGTAATAGAAGTAGTAGAAATATTGAATTGCCGATTCCCACACCAGTCTATTGACATAGACCTGCAAATATATCGAGCGACAACGCTACTGAGAGGCGCCAAAAGTAGTAATAAAATTTAATAGTTTTAGATAAAGTCTCATTACTTGGAGGAATACGCTCCCTAAACTACAAAAGAAACTCAAGGTACCTATTTACTTAAAAAAGGAACATGTCGGGGTGGGTTCGTGTTTCATGAATGTTGGTTCCTGTTCCATTCAGTAAAAAGGCATTTTGCTATCACTTCTGATTCTATTCTCAAACTAGCTAGTCCACCTCCATCAGTATGATTCGGATTTCTTTTGAAGGTCATCTCATCTCACCTTCTATATCTCTTGTAGCTGATCAGTCGTTTTGAACGAATTCTGTAACAGAGATAGGTTAAGAAAGACGAAAAAAAAAGGCCATCGTTTTTCTATTTAATAAGATCCTTTCTTTATGCACTCGTTCTCCAATCCATGTTTGGGGATTATTGAAGGAGTCCCTAATCGGCTAATCCTATAGTGTGGCAGACTTTTAGGTAATCCCAACGGAGAATTGGATTTTTGTATTTTGGACTAGAAGCTTACCATGAATGTTTTCGGATCAGATGCTTACAACGATAGAAATATATTGCTATTTAGTTATTAGCGCAAGTGGAAAGAGAAATGGCAGCTGTAATGACGACAAACCGAAACATGCATTTATTCCATATTTGAGACCTGGAGATAGCGAGGAGAAGTAATATACATAACTAGCTAAGAATCACATCAGATTACAAAGGAAGTCAGGATCTTAATCATCTTCCTAGAAGAGATTTTGTCTGACATAACCCAACGACCAGTTATCTTGAAAATTTCTCCTGAGGATAAAAGTGAACATATTTCTCAACATTTACATGTACATAGCAAGCTGCGGTACACCATTTGGATGGCAAGGAATATACAAATACAAGGCAATATTGCTGTGAAGAAGAGGATTGTACACCTTCAAAATCTTAGCATGAGCAGAGAATTTATTTTTCAAGTCCCAACCATGCAAGCGTCCCCATCCAATATACGTGCTATTAATCTTGGAAGAAAATCTTCAATGGCGGAAAGTCTTCACTACCCGCTCTATCTGTCTTCGGCAAAGAGGACAGTTGCTCAAATGCGAACAGCATGTTATACAACAACTCATATGACCACACCTACAGATTATAATGAATTTGAAACTCAATCACGTTGAAATTAAAAAAAAATCTTATCTAGACAACGAAAAGAGAATCCCCTTGTTCCCCTTTCCATGAATCTCAACGCACAACAAAAAGCAAGCTTGTAAGTAAGAGCCTTTTATTTTGTTAAAAATAATGCAATACATATTATACTCTTTACAAAATTACCAGACTAGACATCTTAAATACAATGTGAAAAGTCTGGTATTTCCTCTTATTTTCTTATATCAACGATTACAAGTTATCTACAGGTATAATTAGGCTATAATAATACAACATAAAATCAGCCAAGATCTTAGCAAAGATTGCTAAGATTAAGGAGACAAAATAGGCAAGAGATCATTGACCAATATCATTTCTTTATCCCCCTCCCGCAAGTTGTGCATCGCTAAGCAAGATGCATAACTTGCGTCGCAGCTCCAGAAAGTAATGTTGAGGTAAAAGTTTGCGGAGAATGTCTGCTATCTATTCTTAAGTGGATAAATAGGCAACATGTAGGGCTCCATTTTTTACTTTGTCTCGGACAAAGTCAAAATCAATTTCCAAATGTTTAGAAAAAGAATGAAAAGTAGGAATGTTGGTCAGATAAGTTGCAGAAACATTATCACACCAGACAATAGACTTTGATTGTTGAAGAAGACCAATTTCTCGGAGAAGCAAATCAATCCATTCAATCTCCAAACAAGCAGATGCCAAGGCATTATATTTTGTCTTAATGGAAGACCGAGCAACAGTTCGTTGTTCTCATGAACGCTGAAAAATGAGATTCTTTTCATAGTAAATGGCATAGCCTGATGTACTCTTTCAGTCATCACTATTGCCACCCCAATCAGAGTCAGTATAAGCTTGGATTGTGGAAGAGGCAGAGCATTGTAGATGCAAGCCATAGTGCTTGATGCCTTGGAGATGTCGTAAAATCCTTTTGACAGCAGACCAGTGATTAATAGTAGGAGCATGCATAAATTATGCAACCTTATTAACTAAGTGAGCAATATCAGGATGAGTAATACTCAAGTATTATAGACCCCCTCACAATGCTTCTATATAAAGAAGGATTATTAAAAGACTCACCACCGGTAATAGAAATTTTGGTATTGATGCAAGCCGGGGTGCTAATGAGCCAAGCCTCTTGCTTTTTGGCCTTGCATAATAAATCTGTGGCATACTTCTCTTGAGTGAGGAGAAGTCCATGGCGGGTCCAACGACCTTCTATCTCCAAGAAATAATGTAACAGACCTAAGTGGCGTATCGCAAAGGCTGTTTCAAGAGCAGCGATAGTGGATGAAAGATGAATTGAATTGGAACTTGTAATGATGCGATCATTGACATAAATAGGACAAAAAATTATTTCATGATCAAATCCCTTGAAGAATAAAGAGACATTAGTTTGGGAGCCATGAAATCCCATAGAGAGCAGCTTATCAGTGAGGCAACGATATCATTGACGAGGTGCTTGGTTCAACTTATAGGGTGATTTTTTCAGTTTAAAAACATGACTAGAATGATGAGAATCAACAAATCCTTATCGTTGGACCATGTACATAGTTTCTTCAAGAGGGCTATGAAGAAACACATTAGAAATATCAAGTTCTTCAATATGCCAATTATGAGTAACTGCAAGAGACAAGATGAGATAAATCACCCCAGGCATAATAATAGGACTATAAATATCATTGTAATTGATCCTCAGTCATTGATGAAAGCCTTTAGCCACAAAATAAGCTTTGTAGTGATCAACCTACCCACTTGGTCGTGGTTTTGATGTGATAAATCCATTTATTTTCAATGACATTATAATGAGATTGATGAGGAACTAGCTCTCATGTATCATTTTTTAGAGGAGCATTGATCTCTTCAGCCATGGCATGATGCCATTTAGGATCTTCGGTTGCTTGCATGTAAGTAGTAGGTTCTTGTGTGGTGATAGAGGTAAAAAAATGTCTTAGGCTTCAATTAATTGGTTTTTGCTCCTGCGGTCATAGGATGAGTAGGTTCAATGAGTTTGACAGCTTTGATATTTCTCATAGGTTCGAGTGGGTTGGGTATTGTCAATTGGGATGTTGTAGTGGGCGGAGGAAAGCGAGAGTCATATGATATAAGTGAGAGTGATGTCGGTTATGAAAGAGGTGAGTTGTAGTGTGATTGGTGAGTTGTAGTGTGATTGATCATTGGTTGTGGAGGGTGTTCACTTTGTAGTGGGGTTAAGCAACTAATAGTAGGGTGTGAGAAGTTATGTTAGGCAATTAATTGATAATTGGGATGTTGGACAACATGGTGCACATGAAGGCAAGGGTGTAGTTTGGCTTTGTGTGACCATTAGTTGTGCTAGAAGGTGGGTTGTTAAAAAAGAAGTAATTATGTTATTGGTGATGGACAATTGAGTAGACGTCGATGTGAGTGTGTTAGGTGTTTTGTCAATGGTACGAGAGGAAAAACCTATTCATCAAATAAAACGTGAGGTGAGATATAGACTTTTTGAGAAGACAAATCAAAACACTCATTGCCTTTTGAGATTTTACTATAACTAAGAAATAGACAAAGAGATGAATGAGGAGAAAAGCTTATGAGGAGCATAGGGATGAAGCCAAGGGTAACAAAGACAAGAAAAAACCTTTAATTCATTATAAAAGGGAGATTTGCCTAACAAAATAGTATAGAGATCTTTATTTTGGAGACTCGGGTGTGGGAAGGTGATTAATGGTGTAAATTGCAATGTCAAAGGCATAAGTCCAAAATTTGAAAGGAAGAGAAGAATGATTGAGTAACGCAAGACCAATTTCGATAATATGTCGATGTTGCATTCAGCATAACTGTTTTGTTCGAGGGCTTTAGGGCAAGCAATACATTGGGATATACCATTGTCAATAAGGTATTTGGTTAAGGCTTGGAACTCACCACCCTAATCCAATTGAAATTGATTAATAGGATGACCAAAAAACTTTTGAACAACATACTTAAATTTAATAAAACAACTAAGAATCTTAGATTTATAGCGAAGAAAGAACAACCATGAATACTTGCTATAATAATAAAAAAACACAATATAATAAGAAAAACCATCAATTGACTAAACTGCAGACAGTCTTTATAAATCGAGAAAAAATCAAATCTAAAGGGTCGGAGGCCTCATAATTGGACTCGGGAAAAGGCAACTAGCTAATTTTTGACACACCGTAAGTAAGACACAAAGACGTAGACTTATTGGCGAACGAGAAAGATCATTATTTTTTACTATTTGTTGAACGGTATGAAAATTGGCATGATTAAGTCGAGCATGTCAAGTATCCAATGTCATACTCGTAAGCTTGAATAGAGAGAGGTCGAATAACTAGAGTAACCACTAATAGTGTATAAAGGCCATTATCAAGCTAACTTGTGTAAAGAACCTTCTTCGTGAGCAAATCCATAATAAGAAAAGAAGTAAGATAAAATTCAATAGAAATATTGTTATTCTTATTAAAATGATCGACACACAAAAGATTAGCGAATGAAGACAAGCATATGTAAAATGTTATAAAGATTAAAAGAACGATGATTAAGAGTAACGGATGAAGAAATTAGTGAGAGATTAGAAGATTTTTACCATTGCTCGGTTGAACTTCATCCGGACCGAGAAAAATCATGATGGAGAGCAAGATTTCCTAGCTTCATCGTCATGTGATGTGTGGCATCAATGTCGACGACCCACCGATTGTTTGGTGCGGAATGGACAAAGGCAAGATTAAAGAATGGTTTTGGAAGTAGAGAGGGTTGGCGATGTTGATTATGGTTCAAATAAGTCTGAATAAATTGTTTAGGAGAGGGATATTGATTAGCAAAACCTCAATGACCAAAATTATTGTAGCAAATCACCAATGAATTAGTTGAAGAAGTACCATGAGAATATCCATTAGATGACAAATGTTGAGCATGAGAATTATAATTTCCGAGTAAGGCCGGACCAAAAATTATCAAAACCTTGAGAAGAGCCCGATCGACCTTCTCTCTTTCCACGTCCTCGATCACAAAAATTAGGAGTACAATTAAGGCTTGTAAAATGGGCCGACACGGAGGATTCAATGGAAAAAATTTTAGCAAGCAATTGTATTTTTTCACTAAGAGCCAAGCCATATAATTCATAATATAAAATTGGCTTATGTCGAGATTGGAAGGAATGAACAAAAGGTCTACGAGATAAACCCAAAACCACACAAAATGGCTCGTGCAAGATGATCTTTTGGAATTCTCATGTCAAGGGATGCCGAGCATATCGAATAATACCTTGGCCTCAAAATATTATGGAGTTGATTCGCCACTTTTTTGATCAAGTCCGTAAAGATTTATTTTTAGCATCCGAATTTGGATTCGAAAGCCGTAACTATAGGTTGTGGTGAATTAACA